TCACCTACTCCATAAAGCGGGCTCTTAAAATTAGGAAGTTTTATGTCGTAGTGGTGCAACAACAGCAAAGAAGTGTACAAAACAGCCTAATGCACATGCAAAGTTGTTGATTGTTAATATAAACATATTATTTTTTGCTGTTCTCCTTGCTGTTGCAGTCGTCGTTGGTTTTGTTGTCCGACAGAAATTGTGCTACCATGGTAACATGATGTCACACTTCTCCTCACTATTGTCTTGAAATAATACCATTCTTTCCCTTTGAATTTACACAACCCTATTAGCCCTATATCCTTTGGGGAGACTTCATGCTATTTATTATTAAATTATATATTATTTACAACATTTAAATGCCACTGATGAGCTCATTTTAAAGACCACATCAGCATTTCTAAGAAGGTATATAATTTTCAAAACGAATTTGAAATGGAAAAAATTTAACTGTTAAAAAATGTGCTTACTTCTTGATGCATTAAATTATTTTAATAACATACCCCTAAACAATATTCTGTTTTGCAGCTTTTCTCATGAGAGAATTTAGTCACAAAGTGTAATCCTCTCCAGCCACCACTTACCCCTTCTTGTATTTTCTACTTGTGTTTAAGTAGTACCTATGTGGTAACTATTTCATTACGTTATGGGCTATCGGTTAAACTGAACTAAGAAACAACCTACATTAACTAATAGACCTTTTCATGGTTTTCTCAACTTTTGACATGGACAAGTTAGGGAAAATCTGTTGACACCACTGGAAAGAGTGCCTTAATTGCCCCTGCAGGGATTTCGCCCAGAGGCGAAATCCCGAGGAGGCACCCTAGTAACTCGCGCGTATATTAAGGACAGTACTTGCAGTTCAAATCTACAGTCAGAATACTAGAAAAAATCTCGATTTTCTTGAACTGGGGCCGCGAGGAATCAGTAGGTAATGATGACGTTTCTATTGTTTGCGCCCGCAAGTACGAAATGGTTAGGATGACGTAAAGACAGAAAATCCCGAAGGGACCGCTCAGGTAGATTTTGTGACATTTATTGTTCATACTTCGATACTCTTTTACGTTACGTAGTGACATTCTGTGGAGCAGTTGTTTTGAAAGTTATGGACCAAAAGACACTCGTTAAGTGCAGGGGAGGTTATAAGGTGCGTTTAACTGTGTAGATATATAAACATTTGGAGAGTTTGCCAGACACGAGTTCACAAATCTTTGATTTATATTGGAAACCTTGCCAGACACTCTTTCTCTCTCTTTGAGCGGAATAAGATTCAGCCCCAAACAAGCAAGACGAGCGAACAACGGCTAGTTTCTCACTAGCAGATTGATGGACATTTACAGAAATTCGCCGACAATCAAATTCTGCGCTGACTTATTCCCTGCTCACAGATGTCCTTCCGTTATAAAGTTTCAAATAAGACTAGAATGCGCTAGCGTGAATCGATCAAACGTCCTTTTAATTTCTAAGGCTTACCTTCCAGCAAATAAAATAAACTGAATGTAAAAAGGGAAAGAGAAATGCGAAAAATTCAACTTCTAATTAAATCTTTTCTTATGGTTTAGAATAAACTATTCTCGAAACTGAGAATGTTTTGATCAAAGCTGTGTAAATTGAGCTGAAACTGTGCATGGAACCTTGCGTTTCCTGTATTTATCTCACCTATTGTATGGAATATGTGTGAAAATCTTCATTATGAATCAGTATTTTTCAAAGAGCTACGCAACCAGCAAGAATACTATTGACCGACAATATACAGAACGGGGGCAGCTGTAGTGTCAACTATTACTAGTATTAGTATAATTGCCAAATTTGAAAGTAATACGTCTTAAGCCAGCAAAGATATACGTCTGCAAATTTGCAAAAATTTACAGATTTTTGTATGGTGGGGGCAAGTTTGTGCCCCCCACCATACAAACATCTATAAAATTTTGCAACTTTGAGGAGCTATATCTGTGTTAGTTTTCAACAAATAACTTTCAAACTAGGCAATACTATAAATCTTAAGGCACTCTTTTCAGTGGTGTCGACAGATTTTTCCTAACTTGTCCATGTCAAAAGTTGAAAAAAACTGTGAAAAGGTGTGTTTACATATATGTGCTTGTCTCAAAGCACAGCCCATTAAGCAACCACATCCTCCACCCCTGTCCCCCTTCCGCCCCCCACCCCCACCCCTCCCACCAGCTGTTGGAACATCAGCTTGTTTTTATTGCGAAACGCATAAAGCGTGCATAGCAATGTATGGATACAAAGGTCATTTTCGTGATCTTTCTACCGCACAAATGTACCTTTTCCTCAAGGATCCTCTTTAAAGTCTTATCCATAACATCCCTAGCGCTCTTAGAATGTCCTCTGTTGATAAAGATGACTCCGTAGAGCCAAGCCGCGAAACCAATCAATGGGACAAATAGTAATTCTTTCTTCGCCAGGAAAGTGGTTCTACGCGGTGTAGCCTTTAGTAAAGGAAGCATATCCAAAGAACTCTGGTGATTTGCTACCACAACAAAATTCTTTCCACTGAGAGAGTTAAAAATGTCAAGTCCTTCAACATCGACACGTATAGCAAAAAATTTGACCAAACAGTTGTAAACAAGACCTTTGGCACGACTCCAATTTTCCACATCAAACGGGTGAAACACTCCAATCACCACAGCGTAAATTGCAGCAAACAAGATGAAACAGTTGAAGGAAAAATACTTGATATGGAACCTAAAATTTCTCGATCTTCTATAAAGGACAACGAATCCAATAAGGAGGCCCAAAATGCTAAAAAGAATTAATTTTAACAGACACATTCTCAGTGAAACCCTCTGCAAGCAAGAGAGCAAGCACGTTACCCAGAGTGCAATGGTTTGTTGAAATCCCAAAAGACCCTGCGCTCTTGGTAGGTATATAAACCCTGTTTCCCTTCAAGTTTTCAGTTACCTTAACACGAAGGCGTGCGGTCAGGGGAACAAGCGCCCTTGTTTTTTACTTCACCTGTAGTAACCATGGTGTCGGTCGATTTAAAACTCTTTAAAAACAGTATTCCATTTGTATATGAGAGAAAGATCGGTGTTTGTTCGCGATTTTTTACCATCGACTTGAGCGATGATTCAAAATGGAAAATTACGCCATGATGAACAATTTTGGAAACAAAAAATGTCATTCGGTGATTTTATCTTCACGTGGTAGTATGTTGAAGCAAGGAAAAAGCGTTAAAGTCGGTCAGAGGAAGGATTTTGTTCGAAATTTTCCACGCGTTCGGGGAGCAATGCAAATCATATTTCTTTTCATGACGTCACCAAGCGCCATATTGCAGGTGAGTGCGTTGATTTATGGGAAGGATGTTTTACGCTTTTTCTCATCCGGGAAACTTGCTTCCTGTGACCTTCATTTTACCGGCGTAAGGAAGACAACGTGGTTTCACACGCGATTGTCTTTTCTTTGCCAAAACACAATTTTAAACGCTCGTCACCGCCTAATTGGAATGAGCAAAGATCTCTTAGACTACCCTTTCTGCCATGATGTCAACAAATACGAAAGGATGGTTAAAATTGGCCAAGGAACCTTCGGGTTTGTTGACTGTTTCAGTCCGCCATTTTGATAATTCGACTTGCTTTGTCGTTACGTTCAACGACATTGATTGTAAGAATTATTTTGCAGCGAGGTGTTCAAGGCACGCAACCGAAAGAATACCAAAGAAATCGTTGCCCTCAAGAAGGTCCTCATGGACAACGAGAAAGAAGGGGTATTTAATGTTCTTGTGAATACATGCTTTCCTTAGTGTTAATTTCGTAGAGTTCCATGTTTGTTTTGTAGTGACTGAACTTTTGGTGTTTTTTGCACCATATGTTCAGTTCCCTATCACGGCCCTCAGAGAGATTAAGATCCTTCAGTTGCTGAAGCATGAGAATGTGGTTAACCTGTTGGAGATTTGTCGTACTAAAGGTAAGTCGTGTTGTCCTCCCTTCGCCTACGTAATATGTGTCAGAATGCATGGTTTTAGAGTGTTTTTGCTATGGAGCTGTTTTTGTGTCTTGCTGGATACCTTTTGATAATATGAGCCCACATTAAGATTTATATTCAAGATGTGGATTGTTAGTGCTTTGATATTCTCTTCTTAAATTGACCACTTAATTTTTTTAAGGAAAGTCCAAGACATTACGAAATGTTAAGATGTGGAACATTTTTGCCAAAAAATGTCTTGCATTGACCAAAGAGGCTAAACGTAATCTTATGATAACTGGGTGACATCCTGCATGCTCATTTATGGAGAGCTATGGTCTGTGATATTATAGACCAAGGCATAGGCGTACGGGAAATTTTTTGCCAGGGGGGGCGGTAAACCATTTGCCCGAAAATATCTTACAAGTTGCCCAAATTTTTACGAAAGAGTCGAAGAGAAACGAGGGCCATATTGCAACAACATAGGCTGTCCTGGCATATGAAGGTGGCTCGACACAGTTTTTCATGGTCAATACCAAGTCTGAGCATAAACTACGTCGCCATAAACAAACATTTGGAAAAACTGCGACCATCAGGGTCGCAATGACATCGGAGTTGTCATAGCAACGAAATGACTCCATTACCTATTTTACTTCAGCAATGATTCTCGGGACGGGAACCTTACAAGCTTACGGTCGCTAGGATGTTTGTGAAGTTTAAGCAAAACCTCAAGAGCGTTATCGAGATGTTTTGCAATGAAGTTTTTATTATTAGAAATTTGGTAGGAAAAGGAAAATCTTGATTTTTGGCCGTTATCTGTAGAGAACGAAGCGCTTTTGACCTGCAATTTCACCTCATAGTAGTTTTAATCTTTTTAAAAACATGTGTGAAAGATCGTGGAGATGGCTTTGCTTGATTGCTAGAATTGAAAGAAGGATTTGATTAGTATGTACCGAGACATTCTTGTTAGCAGTTTTGTAAACATTTCGGTCTACTTTAACAAATTAGCGAATTATTTTAAACCGCTCAATAGATTTTTTGAACGAATTAAGATTCTTCTCGTAATTCAAACTGAGAATTAGTCAGCCACTTCTTAATTTTCATACCCATTGTAGCCTGCGTAGCAAGCGTTTCCAGTCGAACTCGCGTGGAAATGCTTGCTATGCAGGTAATAGCCCATTTGCTAAATGCTATCTGCCATACACTGTTATAGCCCATTCCAGAGTGCAGTAGAGATGATCCTAGAAAGCTATCAAAAATTTATTTTAATCAATTCTCGACTTGAAATAGCCCATTCCAGCTAGTGCAGTGCAGTATAGTGCCCAACCAAAAAAAAAAACTGCAAATATGTAAATTACTCATCCAGATGCATGCTAAGCAACCACTGTAATGTATCTGGATTATTTTACGCCTCTCCTCCCTTCTTTTTTTCGACTTCAGGTTAATATTCAGGTCTTTAAAATAATTAAATAAAATGGAGACGTCTTTAAAAACTGGCTTTGCCCAAATTTTCTCTTTCTCTGCCCAAAAAATTGTGCTCATCTGAGTTGCCCAAAATTTGGGGGCTGCAGCCCCTGATGACCCACAAAGGGTAGAAAGGACCTGGATCCACACGGGCGGTTACGGGCTATGGACCAAGGGAATGACCTGATGGGGAAATTGGCCCAAATTTTCTCTCGCTGCCCAAAAAATCTGAGTTGCCCAAAATTTGGGGGGGCCCGTATGCGCATGGACCAAGGGAATGACCTAATGGGGAAACTGGCTGCTTTGATACAAATTCATTTTGATGCACACCCAAGCAGTGAAATTGCAGAAAAGTTTCGTTCACTTCATGCATCAGTGCTTGACTTTCAGAAAAAAATGTTGGGGCCAACTGGCCCCCAAGTTTTCATTTTTGGTCGGCAGAACAACACAGTATTCTAGTCGCCAAAAATTATATTTAGGAACTAAAAGAATACAATAAACTTAAGCTCTTTTACTTAGCCATACCAGAGAAAGAATGCTTTAGACTTCCTTTGAACTTTCTTTCGAGTAGTTTTCGCTTGAGGCTCGGTTACCAGCTGGTGTTCAGGAAAATGAACCCGCACTCAAGCGTACATCTCCTCAAACAAGTATTCAAGCAATGGAATACACAATTCGATAAACAAACTTTGGGAATCACAAAAAATCTTATTTCTGTTATTAAAGAAGAAAATCTGCAAAATTTGTCTTGCATCCCATGTATTGGCATATTCAGAAATGAACATCAGTGAAACTTGATCTATTTCACAGTTGCCTAGCATGTGATCGAAAGTCTCCAGAAAGAGAAAACGTCGCTAATGTTTTCGGGCAAAGCAGGTTATTTCGTGAGAAGTCTGTGAGACAAACAGCGTGAGTTCAATGGTACTTCATTAGAAGTCAAAATATGGCAGAGCTTTTGCTCAACAGAAATTTTCATGAAGTTGTTTACAAGAGGCTTGAAAAATATGCGCCGTCGTTCTCGATTAGCTTAAGCTTTTACCGGACTAATCTGCTATTGAGTCCGCAATCTAGATATGTGTTCGACATAAAGAAACAGTTTTAAATAAGTGCTAAAATTCATTGCCAGAGAAACACAGGACGACCTATTGAGAATTATGATCGATTTGCCCAGAAGTCGATAAGACTTCCGTCGAATTCGTCACTTGTGATTTTCACAATCCTGTTTCAAGTAAAAGTCAAACATTAGACGGACCAACTGTTTGATCACAAGAACAATCCGTTTGAGTGTTGGAAGAAATCGTTAAAGCGTTTAGACAAATCGTTAAAACGTTTAGACAAACCGGTAAAGCATTTGGGCAAAACATTAGAGCATTAGAGAAACCGCTCTACCTACTCTAGCTAGGTATTTTTATTTGATGGTGCTGTCCCACTTGGATTGGTTAAAAAGTTGTCATGCATTTATGCTCGGCACAGTAAATTGGCCCCAACAGCTGGCATTATAGAAAAAGTTATGTTATTCACTTGTCAGTTTACCTGGGATCTAAACCTGGTTTAAACAAAATTCATGTGAAAGAGATAATTATAATAATTGGCATAAATTTGTACCGCTATTATTTTTCAAAAGTGATACTTTCATTCGAAAAATTTTGTCAATTACATGAAGAGTGCGCCTTTGTCCCTGGTAGCAGTGAAGATGCAGTTTGTCAACAGACTTACTGGCCTCACCAAAATCGCAGGAAAAACAACGAAAGTTAATAAATAATCTACAGCTTGGATGATTCTGGGGCTCATGTCCTTAATGAAGACCTGTTTACTAACTCTCTCACTTCCTCTTTTGTAGCATCTCCGTACAATCGTAACAAGGGGAGTATCTACCTTGTGTTTGAGTTTTGTGAACATGACCTTGCTGGCCTGCTGAGCAATCATAATATCAAGTTCTCATTGTCAGAGATGAAGAAGTTAATGCAGATGTTGTTGAATGCACTCTACTTCATCCACAGCAATAAGATCCTACATCGAGACATGAAGGCTGCAAATATTCTCATTACTAAGAATGGTGTTTTGAAACTAGCTGACTTTGGGCTAGCTCGTGCTATTCATCTAAACAAAGAACAAACACAACGCTACACCAACAGGGTAGTCACTCTTTGGTACAGACCACCGGAATTGTTACTAGGAGAGAGAAATTATGGCCCACCCATTGATTTATGGGGTGGAGGCTGCATCATGGCAGAGCTTTGGACACGAACACCTATAATGCAAGGAAATTCGGAGCAGCACCAGTTGACCCTAATAAGTCATCTATGTGGCTCAATAACAACTGAAGTGTGGCCTGGAGTGGAAAAGCTGGATTTGTTCAACAAGATGGTGCTTCCTGCAAATCAGAAACGGCGTGTCAAGGAAAGGCTGCATAGCTATGTGAAAGATAAACTTGCACTTGATTTGATTGATCAGATGTTGAATATTGACCCAACCCACAGAATTGACGCAGATACTGCTTTGAATCATGATTTCTTTTGGAGTGATCCTTTGCCAACTGACCTCACTCGTACTCTGAGTTCTGTCAGTACTTCCATGTTTGAGTTTCTGGCACCACCTCATGGACGCAGAGGACAGGTACAGGCTACTGCAGCTGGTGCCCAGGCTCGTGCTGCTGCTGCGGCTGCAAATCAGTCCAGTGTTGTTCAAAGTGGAACATTTGACAGGGTATTTTAATTTTATATTATGGACATGATTGACTAAGTTGCATTTATGACTGTCAACGTAATATTATAGTGAAGTATACAAAAAATGTTATTGTATTTAAGGCATTAATCACAGCAAATAAATGAAAGACACAGGGAGAAATACAAACAAAATAGAAAACAACAAAAAAATTGGAAAAGAAAAAGAAAAAAGCAACAAAAAAAACAAAACAAAAAGAATTTACCAACAAAAAATTTCAAAAATTTTTGTAAGAGAAAGAAAAAAACCATAAATATGAAGGTCATGCTTTTAAACCTCAAAATCAAAGATTTGTATTGCAGTGTGTTGTGTAACCATTGATGCAATTCTCAAGCTCCTTGCTAGTTTGTTTTGTTAACAAGGCTTGGTACAATTTTGTAGTTCATAAACTTAAAATAGTACAGTGCTAATAGAACAATAATATCCTTAAAAACATTAATTCTAGCAGTGAAACGTTATTGCTGTATAAGTATTGTGTATACGCAGACTGTGAAAGAAATCACATAAAGTTGACTTATCAAAATGTTGACGGCTTACTACTTTAAACATACAAGTAGCACAATAGATGTTTTTGCCATTTTAAGTCCTTTGAAAGGTGACTTTAAGTTGTGTGGTATTCACCTCATGTTAAGTTTAAGTGCAAGATTATTTTTGTAATTTTTTTTAATGCATTTAACAAAGCTGGAAATAACAGTTGGCTGATGAAATGCCATAGTTACACAGATAATTTAAGGGTTTGAGTCATGCTGGGACATGGTGTATATGCCCTTAAGTGGCTGCTTGAAGTATGCACTTTACTTTAAGAACAATTTATACAAAGAAATGATATTGCCACTTACTTTTGCTGTGAATTGTTGGCATAACTTGGAATTGGCTCTGTGACTTACAGTTGATCGATAAATTATTTCCAGCTCTGCAAAACACCGGTGTGTAAACAGACATTTATAACAAAGAATAGCCATCATTTGGCTATGTTTTCAAAACAGTTTTTCCGGTTCACTTCCCTTTTTTATATTCTTTACAGTACAAATATGTCCTTTTGGATGCCTTGAGCTAAGTGCAGCTGTATTTAAATTGTATAGTATAAATCTTTCAAACCATAGCAGAGGTGTACTCTTTTTGTTTGAATTTAAACAGTTCTTTTAAGAAATTTTCTAAGTGGCCAATGTTGTCATAAAGAAAAAAAATAAGGGTAGAGTGATAGACTGTTTACTACACTGGTTATACCTAGCACTAACATAGAATGGCAATAAACTAAAAAAGAAGAACTTTATAAAATGTGTCTTTTCTTATTTGTGTTGATTCATCCTCTTTCTATAAATATGTAAAAACTGGTGTTCAATACCCCTGTGCTAGCAGTAGGACCTAATGTTATTGTGTCCAGGGGCCCGTTTCTCGAAAGTCCCGGTAACTTTTCGGGCCCGAAATCAAATATTCAAATCGAAATAAAAAGAATAAGAACGCGGCTCCTGGCAAGCAAACTACTCCATTTTGTTTCTTTAACTGATAGTTTTATCATGTTAGATGCAAAACTATTGAAACCTCGATCTTAAATGGCAACCGAGACAGCTTACCGGGCCCGTTAATTATCGGGACTTTCGAGAAACGGGCCCCAATTCCCCAACTTTCTAATGAACTTTCAAGAAATAATTTATTTAATATGGGTGACTTAATTTCACTGCCTCAGGAAAACAGAGTTTTGTTTTGCCTTTAAACTGTCTAATGGGTCTGATTTTAATCATTCAGATACACTAAACAGTTGAGAATCAGGCCTTGCATGTACTGAGGCATGCACAGATTACATCCTGAAACAAAGATGTAAATTTAGGTAACAAAACAACTCCCAAACAGATTCAAGAATGTTGTCCTATTCTAAGGTTTAACCAGCATGATGCACTCTTTAACATTAATGAACTTATGCAATAGGACGAGAGAGGAAAGAAGGTGGCAAACCTTGTGTTTCAAGCGAGACAATAACTTTGTTAAAAAAAATTTCCCTCAAACATCATCATCCTTTAAACAGATTTATTTGTAAAAGACAGAAAACATTAATGTTAAGTGAAGATCAGCGACAACAAAACATGCAAGCAATAGCCCTGTCACCTTTGTCATGCACAAGCATTTTGCCGTCCTCTTGTTTCTGCTGTCGTGTTGTGTAAACTCACTATTGTTGCACAACAGCTGCAACAGTTGTTGATTAACAACAAAACCATGTGTCTCAATTACATCCTCTCTGAGTGTGAGGAATATTTCTTTATTGTGGTTTGGCACTGTTGGGCAAAACAATGTAGTAAGATTTTCGTGGCTACTGCCTCTCTTTAGAGAAGGCTAGACATCATGTCATAGTCCATGCATTGTAAGTAGGTAAGCAAGTTAACCCTACAGGAAACCCAATACTGTGCAAAAAACAAACTAGGCCCAGTTGTTGTTGCAGCCAAATGCTTTTGATGATGACGACGGCAGAAGTATTTTACAGAGAAGTTGGAACTGAGTTAGGACTATCGAAGTTGATCTAAGAGAACATTTTGTATGACATCTTACTTCACAGGATTTGTTAGGTATATCAGCCATATGGACTTCAAATGCGATGGAAAGCAATAAGTTTGGCTATTTTTTACCATTGAAAGCTTGCTTATTTTCCTGACCCCGGTTGTTCAAATGTTGGATAGTGCTATCCACTGGATAAATCACTATCAAGTGGATACCGTAGAATCCCGGTTATAAGCCCCCCCGGTTATAAGCCCCCCCGATTATAAGCCCACCTCTCTGCTAATAGAAATTTCCTCCCGGTTATAAGCCCCCCCGGTTATAAGCCCACCCGATTATAAGCCCACCTCTCTGCTAATAGAAATTTCCTCCCGGTTATACCCCTGTTATACCGGGTACCGTATACAGTTAACAATAATTAGGCGGTAAATTAGCGACATACCGTATTTATTATTATAAATCAATTACAGCAACGGTTCTTTAACAGGATTTCAATGAATCGTATTCCATCAAAGTCACAACTAAACTTGATCTCTGTTCCGCTTTCGGTTGCCAGTTTATTTGTTGCGGTTGTTCAAATCCCATAAAGAGATCGTTCTGCCTTACGTAGTTTTCCTCTCACATCAGCTTTCTTTTTCCTGTTCCCGTAGATGAAATAAGAGCACGGTAACTCACAAATTTTCATTTTAATAGAACGGATTTTAGACGTTTTTTTCCTCCCTATTATAAGCCCCCCGGGTTATAAGCCCCCCCGATTATAGGCCCACCCAAAAACCCTTACGAAATTGTATAAGCCCAGGGCTTATAACCGGGATTCTACGGTATAAAAGTGATAGGGAAACCATTGCGTTATCCACTGGATGGATTTGTATCCAGTGGATAGCGTTATCCAACAACTGGGGCCTGGAATCTATCCCTGATTAATATACTAGTGCAAAATCATTTCACAAGTATGATTAATTAAATCGATTATTGATTTTACTAATCAACGAAAAGAGGGACGAGGGATTAAATTGACTGGGGCAACCCCAGTAACAATCCCAGAACCAAGTATGGAACACATTTCAGCTTCACTTCCCTTCTCGTTTGTAAAGTGGTGAATAGAATCCACCAACCAGCCTCAATATCTACAGCCACCCCCCCTGTCTCTTTACGTCTCCGAGTCTCAAATATTATCAAGTCTCAGTTTTGAAACTGGGGTCTCACAGTCTTGAATTTACCATTCTATACCCCTAAAATAAAAATGGCGAGGGATTTATTGATTGTTAGTGCAAGGCACTCACATGCTTGCAAAATTATAGGCTTGGTGGACAAGAATAATATTTTACTTGTAGCCTGAATATTTTCTGGCTTTCTTTACACAAGTGCAAGAGGTGCATGCACAACTGTGATGATCTTCTTTTCATTTAATTCTTTGTCCAGCAGTTTCAAATTTATAAGTTTCATTTATGTATCGTTCTTTCAAAAATATCTCACTACACAAACTCAGTTGATGAAACGGAAATTCTTGTGTTTCACTCCCTTTATGCCACAGTTTCCCTGAACCTGACCTGGGACTCTTATTTCCCCAAAACCTTTCTAACTGTCTTAAAGGGATACACTGTAGTCCTGTAAACCAAATTCACCGATGTTCGTGCTTTCCAATCTGGGATTGATTTCACCACGATCAGCTAAACATTATTCTCCTGACTGTCTGTAGACAACAGCTGTCTGTCCAGTGTGGGCACTCATCCAGCGGCAGTGCTTCTTTATGAGTAGTTAATAGTTGCAACTCTGTGCAATGCTTTTGTTATGGTACATCGCCATAAAAAGAGACCAAGCAGTCCATTACATCCTCATCATTACACAGTTCAGAAGAGTCAAAAGATATTTGTTGAGATGTGCCGTTGGTGGCAGCAAGTACCACTTCTTTGTCTTGTCTGGCAGCTTTTCTTTTCTGTTTTCTGCCTGAAGAAAAGAAAAAAGGGAATTTAACATTAATAAAATACATTTATTTCATATTACATAAGCAAGCGAATATTAACATTAAAAGCCGACGTTTTGGTATCATCATGACACCATTCTCAAGGCAAAATGAATAAATAATGCGAAGATTTGATTTCTATAGTCTCTACGAATTAACATAATAACAAAGGATCACAAGTTCTCCAAGTGAATACCTTTGCGCGAATCGAGTCCGCCCGCACGTTTAGGGATGGTTTGAGTTTTCTTATAAAGGGCATCTCCGTAATCAGGCAATCAAATTTGTTAGAACCTTTAGTGAGCACGTGAAATTGTTAAGCTTAATTTTTAAGAAATATATTAATTTATAATTATGTCTAGTAACGGTTTTATTTATATTAATAAATTATCTATTTTTAATTATTATTATTATTATTATTATTATTATTATTCAATTATGGTGAAACAGTCTCTTTTTGCAAGCAAACTGGTTCCTGTGAAATGTTGGGCATAGGTTTACTAAAAACAGGTTTCTGATTTTGTTTCCTTGTTCTCTGACTTTTGTTGCATTTAGGATCTTGTAAAGCAAGTGTAACATTATTGTTTGAGTCTTATTATTAAAATTAATAATAAGACTCAAACAAGTAGCCTGCATGCAAGCTCATTTGTGCAATTTGGGGAAAATTATTTTGGTAGCGGAGCCACCCAGCAAGGAAAAATGAGCCTTTTCGTCAGCCCATTTGTGAGTCCACTGCCAAAACTTTTCCCCAAGCTCGCAAAAGTGAGCCTGCTCACAGGCTAATTATTTAGGGATAAAAAATCTGAGACTGGCCAAAGATAACGAAATGCCAGTTTTGAAATAAAAAAAAAACATTATGGTAAACGGTTGAGACCCAGAGGCAGAAAGAAACAGGCAAAAAAAAAAAATGGCATTTGAGACCCATCACAAATAATGCTTTGAGATGTAGAGCTTGCAAAAATATTTTCCAAAACCATGACTTTGATGGTACAATATTACTGCTACCCCTTCATTTGTACCTGGATTTTCAGGAGTAGCACTGCTATCACATTCATGCAATATGTTGCAAAGATTTCTGAAAAACCTGAAAAACAAGTTATTAAATATTTCTGTATAAGTGCAAGCCATTGACAATATGGCCTGTTGGTTGAACTTAAAAAGCAGGAGCACATTAGTTTTCCAGAAAAATGTGCTTTGAAAATATACCACTGCATCTAAGGAAATTTTCTCAATAATCAACAGGAAAGAAGGGTGTGGGGTGCATGAGCTTCCATAAAAATGTAACTTGAAGGATGTCAGTTCACCTCTCTGATGGTTCCACACACACAGCAACAGTCACATGCAACTTATTATTATAGTTTGAAAGTGAAGAAAGTCAACAAGTACAGTCTTTGGTTCACTAGGCAGTGTTCATTTATTTTTGGTTTTTCCATGCAAAAATACACATACCTATCTTTTCTCATCTGATTCTCTTCAAGCTTCTTGTTGGCAATATTCACCAGGAACTTAACATACTAAGATGGGAAAATTTTCATAAAATATAGTTATCACTCTAAGAAACTTGACATTATTTTCAACACAAAGCAGAGCATGGAAGTAAAATCACTATATCACAGGAAAAAATAACCAATTCCCATTTTTGGATATTTTAGGGTATTTAAAGAATACCCACAAAAATCCCAAATTTGGAAGAGTGAGACAAGTCCCAATCAGGGAACTTAGTTGGGAATTCCCTGGTTGGGACTTGTCTCACTTTGCCAAATTTGGGATTTTTATGGGTATTCTTTAAATACCCTTAAATATCCAAAAATGGGAATCCGTTATTTTTTCCTGTGTATGTCCCCCTCAGTAGAAGGTTTCCATAGCTGCATTTTCTAGGTGGTGGTGTGCCCCTGCCTCTCAAAAGACTGTTATCGCTTATAAGGCCTATACCATATACAGGGATGTGTCATTGAACAGGGTATGGGTTTTGTACTCTCTGTCCCAAACAGGGTATATAATAATAATTCATGCGAGTCTGTCCTAATTATAAACGGGGTATTGCCTGCACAATTAATTACATTTTGAGTTGCTTTGTACTCTAAGTATACAGACGCAATAACTATAACGTGAACTTGCTCCATTATTGCAATTGCCAATAAATGACCTTAAAACAAGACGGTGTGCATTTTGTCCTTTATCCTAAGCAAGGTATTAAAATTGAGGGTGTTGTCCTCAACAGGGTATAAATCTTAAAAAAGGAATGCAATATTATTTAAAATATTCTGGTACAAGGCTTTTGTCCCCTGAAAATTAAGATTATTTAATTTCCTGATGGATTCCATCTTAACCGTCCAGTCTTTTTAATTCTGGAAAGACAATATTATTTTGGGAAGGAATTTGGGCAGGGTAATGTTAATTTAGTTACCTTTTCAGGGACTAAAAGTTCTCCATCATGAACAAGTGGAACTTCCAAGCTTTGAGTACTCCTTACAGCCTACAAAAAATATGTTTTAACTTTTTTTTAACTTGACGTAACCAACATACTTTTACCTTTTTGTAGTCTAACTTAAGGGCTTGAAAGTTTGAGATTTTCCTCTGCCTGGGACCCAAAGATAACACATGCTCAAAACAATCACAACAGCCTTTTACATGATGAGAGGGGGGAAATGAAAAATAAATTTCATCTAATGGCTTCCCTTACGTGTAATGACCAGTTAAATTACAAGTTGTTTTATCTGAAAATCTGAGTCTGTTGTCAATTGATTGTAAAGAACAAAATTGCTTGCCAGTGATGGACCTCAAGAATTTTTGGCTTTAAATAGTTCTTAAACTCACCAATATGACATTAGCCTTCCTTCCGATAACAATTCCAGAATTTTTAAAACCAGATACAAGGGCAGCTTTGAGCTAAATGAAATATAAATAAATAATTTAATTTATTTATTCATATAAAAAATGAAATTAAATTATAGAAATAAAAATTATAAAAAAATCCATGTAAAATGATGCAATTTGATTTTTTTTACAGGTAACTCACACAACAGCACTCTGCAAGTTCCCTTTTTAATAGCATATTTTGTTTTGATCTTTTCCATATCTGAGTAATTAAATCCTAAATTCCTGTTTCTTGTGAAATGTTATTATAATTTAATGGTATATATTGCAAAACGCCAGTCATGACACTGACCTCAAGGGCCTCCCTACTATGATTTATCCTTTCTGAGATTTATAACTAATAATAATAATTTTTAACAAACTATTTATAAATGGAGGAAGCAACTGTACAACTACAACAAAACTACTGTTATTCTTGATTTAAACTCCATTCTCCATCATTTGGACAGCCCAGATAAAATGCTTTACATAGGAATAACCAAAGTAACATTTGGCAAAGGCCTACATTTTTGTGGTTTTGTGGCAAAATGGCCAGCAACAGCTGTTTTGAATTAATAATGTCATCATCTCGGAATTCATTAAAAAAATTAAAATCATCACAAGCACCAAGTCTCTATTTGTGGCTGAGAATGCTCAAAGCCTTACATTCAAAGGATCTAGATTTCTAGTCTTCATGGCCTCTAGCTGGTTTGGACTACTGTAAAAAAAGGAATCCTAGTAGCCACCTTAGTTTATCTTAAAATCCCTGTCTACTCACCATTTGCTGACCACTCTCAAGGTCTTTACACTGCACATGCAAAACAAATGGTTCAAACTTGAAAACTGCACTTCCTTGACAGTGCTGTAAGGAATTCAGCTACAAACAGTATTAAGAAACAATAAATGGTGAGCCAATAAAAAATATGCCTTGGAATCACTGGCTATCTGGGAACCACCAACAAGATGCACAACTAGACTAGTGGTGCACAAGTCACGTTATTTAAGGTCAAAGTTAAATTTATGGAAAAATTTTTTAAACTGGGTCCATTTGTCTCCTAGCTCTATTATTATATTATTCATGCATTTGGGCTATGAGACAAAAGGCACCAACCTGGGTTAACATATTTAAACCTGAAATTTAAACCAGAAATTAATTTTGAGTCTCCCGGATAATGTGCGAGACTCCAGATTTTGGACGTATTTCCCAGTCTCCAGATTAGAGGATGAAATCTCCTAGATAATCGCCGAAGTTTGCCATTTCTTCATTTCAGAAGACTCGACTTTCCAACGATATTAAAAATTTCAACTATTTTGCATTGTTTGAGCTATTTTAACGTTAACATCGAACGTTTCCTCATAAATTCCAGTATGCCATTGTAACTTGATTGGTGGGAAGTAAGCCAATTAGGTCAAATGTTACTATGCTAACAACACCTTTTTCAAGCATTCTGTGCCATCGCAAATTTGTGGTGATTGGAATCTACTAGCATTTTTTGCACAAATGATGTCATGTTCTGTGCATTAAGATGTGATCTGTTATCCCTTCTCTTAGTTCCCTATCAATTCTCAATATTTGAAGACATGGGGGTTGACAGCCTTGCATCATATACTTTCAGATCCTGTTTTCAAGAGCTTGGACAACTTTGTTTTGTTATGTTATTTACTTACTAATTCATCCTCATGAGCAGTACTGTGGGTAACATACAACCACTCACAATGCCTTTTTCTCTGATCTGCAAGCTGAAATAACAAATAGTTATAATAAACTGGAGGCTTTTCCTGGAAATAAAATTAACGTAATAACTACTGCTTAAGTTGAGGTGTTAAGTGTTAGCTATAATGTTAAAAATATAAATGCATTGTCTGCAAATAGATTTGGTGATAGAAGTAAAGAAAAAATGCAACTGCTAGCTGATGAAGGTAAATACTGTGTGCTGTACCTGTTTTTAATACAAAGTATAACAACCATAACAAGAACTCACTGGCAAGCAAATATGCCCCAAGGGAGTGAAAGAAGCAGCCTACAAAGCCCTGGTGTGGCCTCCTGTGGAATATGCCAGTTCAGTTTGGGACCCGCACTTAAAAAATATGTCAAACAAATAGAGGGAGTACAAAGAAGAGCTGCATGCTTCATTGAAAACTGTAATGCAGGAACCAGGAACAGTTATCAACCTCTTGAACGAGTTAAACTGGATACCGCTGAAGGTACGAAGAACAATCAAGAACAATGGTCCGTGATTTACTGCCAACCATATATATCCTTTCCCTTGTCATATGGAAATCTACAGAGGGACAAGAGTGACGTGACCAGATTTACTTCATAATACACTCTGTCTTTACCCGAGGCTAAAGGCTAAAGGGACCAAAAATATTCCTTTATTTCACTAACCTCGGAGAAAACAGATATCCTTCCTGAGCAAGAACTGGTAGTAAAAAAGTTTTCTTGAGCATTTATGTACTGCACTAAATCAATTATTTGGTCATCTATGCTCCCTTTTTTGCTGAGATCTACTTGAGAAAGACAGGACTCTTTTTGCTTGTTGAAGGCGGCCATTTTGATAACAAAAACCATACATGAAGTGTAAAATGAAGTGATCAATAGAGCCGCTGGCGTGTTGTATGGTGGGCTCATCGTCTCTGATTGCCGCCATCCGCAAGCTATCCGCCATAAATAGAACGAATTCTACATTGTTGGCTGTAAAGATCCGTTGTAAACAGCGTTTCAAACTTATACACTAGCAGCGAAGTAAAGTTTTTGACCATCATGCTTCGAAGAAAGGCCACTAGAATAGAATTGAGGGGAGAAGATGTAGACGAATACGAGAAAGCGAAAAAGATGTGGACGAAGGATGTAAAGAAAGAAGAGGAGGTTAGCAAAGGACAGAGTTTTTTAGATGATTCTCCTATGCCACTCAATGATCCACAGAGGATTGCAAAAATTCACGAGAGAATAGGATATAAGCCTGACACTGTGCCTAGCGATGGAACGACAACGTTTCTTTCTTAGAACGTTAGAAATGGCTCTGTTCCTGAGGCTTCTGTACTTCTGAGTAGTAATTATCAAAGTCGAGTTGGTTGTATGTTGGGACGCTTCAGTTAATCCGACCCACCCTTAAAGATGAGCGGACTCCCAACAGTTGAGTATGGACAAAAGGACGATTGCTACTAGTTGATTATAGAAAAGTGTTCACCTCGAGGCAAACAGTTGCTGGAAGATAACTTGGCAATTACTTGCATCTCTTTATACATATTTGTGAAAAAAGCCGATACTTTCAATCCAAGCATTCAGGAAAAGTTGGATATCATTCCCCTTTACAGTTGTAACGTTTTCTTGATTTATTTATGGCTTCACCTCTTGCTAAAGAGGCTGCAAGATTGATCAACAGTGCAGTGCCATGGATCTTACTGACCACACATATATAATGCACCAATTACTCACTGGAGTCTCGACAGCTTTTAATATAATGATGACCTTAAGGGACAGACCATGAGAAAACTTATGGGGGCAGGCGAGGTGCAAAAAATTTTTGTGCAAGGGAAAATTAAATGAACAAAATTCATGCATGCCAAGTAACCCTGAAAATATTCATGTACTGGTCTAAAAAAATTGATACACAAGAAAATTCATGAAAATTCTCCACCCGCCACACCTTTTCAAATGTTCTGTCCCTAATAACAAACAGCATAGGAACAATAATGTGCTTTGCCATTAACTTATTTTCTCATACAAGATGCTTTGCTTCACTTGTGTCTTAACACAGGTGAACAAATAGATACCAGCAACATACTACTGAGGGTAACCCTCCTATGTCGAGACTAACATCTCATCCAGGGGGAGTAGAAATACTTCCTGCTCAGGGTGTTCATTAACCATTAGAGATTGGAGAATTCTCCGTTTACTAGGCTAAATTCTCCGGCTAATGTTTGGTAGCCCATGACTACTTTTTATTCAGACGTGGAGCCTTTTTCAAGTATTCTCCTGTAATGTTACACCTTTCTCTTACTACTAGAATTCTTAATGAAACCCCTGCCTGCTGCTCTGCTGCTTCATGATGCAGAAACTGGGTTGAGCCATTTTGAAGTTTAATGAGGTCTATGACAGAAATTACAGGTAGCCAAGGCTGTGCTCTTCGAATACCCAGTCACCACTGGTGACTTACTTTCTCTTAGAGCTCTCTCCTCTGCAGAGGCCTCTTTGTGTTGTGGGGAGGCTGGGAGCACAACCCTGGCAGAATAACGTTTAATAACCTCACTTGGAAATATCATTATTTTATTTTGATGGGGATACCATTCTGCTGAGAGAGAGCAAAAATCAGAATTATTAATAACTATTGGACTAATTTCAAAACTTCGGCACTCCATACCTGGTCATATACTGTTATATATTTACCAAACATTAATCCAAAAGTACCGTAAAATTCAAACTATGGTCTTCCATGTATACGCCCCTGGGGTCAAACATCCAAGACTTCCCTTCTTGTTTTTGGTGTAAAACTTTGGGGGCTGAGAAAACCTTGTCAAACCAAAAAAAAAACCTAAAAATTTAATTTAAACTATAAGTGCTCCAATCGATTTTGAAACTTTCTTTCCATCTTAAAAGAGAAGATGACTATATTGAGACATCATTAATAACTGAAAAAGCTCGATTAACAGTTAAGTGATTTCTGTACAAAAGTATTTGTTTGTTTGTTTTTTTTCTTTTGCATTCCGTCAATTCCTTTTTCATCTTTCCTTAGTAAATTTAATGTAATTAAAATAAAACTATGATGGAAATGATTGTTATTTATTGTAACTTAAAATAGTTTCCTTACTTTCCTTTTCTTTCACTTTAGTTTTCTTTTATCTGGTTCCCCTAGATTAGCAGTTGCTATTTTGCAGGCCAGTTTATTGTAATCAATATTTTTTATTAAAAAAAGTTGAAGTTGACATAATAAAACTGTAAATGCTATCTCAATCATTACAATATTATACATATGCACTGATAAATATCAACATTCATCATTGCGTTTGCAACTACTACCTAAAGTGTAGCACTTTCAACCAGAAAAAAATTGGTCAAAATAAAACAATTTTAGACCTACTCTGCATTTGCAAAAATTCATGTATTCTTTTGTTAATAGCTTTATTTGCCTCCTGTAGAGGAAAGCTTATTTAATTTTGAACATGCTGATAAGACAAGTGATGCTAACTAACATGAATATAAAAGGGTAGTAATTACGATTTGTCTTCCTTTTTTAATAAAGTGGGTTTTTTTTATTCTCCTATATTTTTTCTTTAGTGCTTTAAAGTGACTGGTTAGTGATGATTGCTTAGGCCCCTAAGCATTCAAGGCATTTGGCTCGATAAAATTTCTGAGGTTCCTTGTGTGTTACAATGTAAGAAAAAATGTATCCAAAATATCTAAGACAGCTGTACATTAGATTTTTTCCTGATAAAATTATTGCCTCAGTAAGACTTTTTGTCTTGTTACAGCCTTGCTGCTTTTTCACACCTACTCATCACTCCATATACATCAGTGAGAATGGGTTGCAGCTGTTAGCAGGACAGTGATCTAAGGGATCTTTCGCCTTAGCTTTAGTTGACTGGTTGATCATTGCTATATTGTCACCGGCTCATGGCTCCCTCATACTTCGGAAAAAATTGGATAAAAAGATTGAACAGAGTTTTAAAACACCCAGGAACTAGTGGATAGCTGCGTATAGTCGGCGTATGTTACTCGTTTTACCGAATTTTACGTGACCGTCGATGATCTGTAACAAAACAGGAAGCCAAGTCTTCCTGCCCATACTTATAATTTTTTTACCAATATTTTTTAGTGATATTGTCTAAATTGCCAGTCCAAACATGAAAGTTACTGCAAAAGCATGCAAAACGCCAGTCAAAGTTCTGCTAAAGAGGTCTTCTCCGAAATTTTTCCACAGCCCCGGTCCAGTTTCGCGCGACTCGCTAGTAATGTTGACTACTCCTTGAAGCTTTTGTCTACGTCTTAGAACTTTTTGTCCGCGCACTGTTTTCATAAAAGAGACGTTCTTGCTTTGCTGTAGTTGATGTTTATAATAGTTACGATGAAACGAGAAATTCTTGCTGTTTTTGGTATTTGAAGCTAACTTTTGCTAATCGCCTTGTTGACTTGCTGGTGGATCGAAGTTATCGCCTTGCAATTTGTTGTCGAGTACGTGATCCCTGAAGCCTTTGTCTACGTCTTCGGAACTTTTACCAGTGCCCTTTTTTCGTTAGAGACGTTCTTGCCGTGTTGTAGTTGATGTTTATAATTACTACGATGAAACACGAAATTCTTGTTGTTTTTGACATTTGAAGCTGATAGAAGCTTTGCAAATAGTAACGACTCTAAAGTCAACATTCTTCTAAAAGACCACTCTCTGTCAAAAACAAACTCGTTATCGAGATAATCCCATTTTTCATTGTTCACTTGCTTTTCTTTTACTGTCTTCTCCTGTTTACCGTCGCTGAAACTCTCATCGTCAGGTGGATAATCTGTATCACTTTCTCCCATGGCTGCAAAACTACCTGCCAGTGTTGTCACCTTACTAAAGTTTACTGATGTCCTTATGGCAATCCGTTACATTGCTTGGTGTTTTTAGGCAAGACAAAAGACTTCGTGAATAGAAAATGAAAGACCCGCTGGTAATTATCCCTCAAATTAGCATAACAACGGTTCTTCACGGCAGTTCTTTATTGAATTTTGACCATATGAACTTTCTGGAATGCGGTGGAAGCCCCTCACGCGGCACACTTGACCTCGGCAAGAATTTTCACCCCTTGTTGCGTATAGAAAATTTCACTAACACATAATACATCCGACTCGAACGATTGTGAGGTTTAGCTATTTTTTGCTTTTTCGATTGCTCTACAGCCCCGTATCCGCTTTACGTAACCTTTTTATTGGTGCGGGCCTTAGTCTCTCCCAGGAGGGCAGGTAATATCATTTAAAATGGAAAGCGTTTATGGTTGCCTCACTTCAACAGTCAGCAGTACATTATATAACCTCTGAGCTCGAGCAGTGCTCGCTGGCTAGCCAATACTTCTGACATCAAAGGCAGCATGATCCCCAAAAGATACTGCGTAAACCTCTCCACGAATTCTGTCGTTTTTTAGGCTGTCACTGGATTGAACTTTAGCGATCAATTCAGTCCTACAGTACGTGAAAACGAATTATTGGCTCTTTTTCCGTGTTCTTCGATCTGGAACCCAGCCTCACGTTTCTTTCACTAAACCAAATTATTCTATTCTTTCCGATCATTACCCGTTGGCCATGGAAATAGAATATCTAGATCCCTCTACCACTCATATAAGAAATACCTTTTATTGGTTGATCTCACATAAATATCACTTTCCTAAACAAATTAAGTTCTGTTTTGTTTTTTCAAACAACAACGAAATAAATAAATTTATCAGCTGCCATGCATGCAGTCCTCAGCTATTTTAATACGTTTACAAAGATACAGGCACATGACGTCATTGTTTAATTCCAGAAAATACGCCGAAAGTGAATCAAAACTAAATACGTCAGATTTACGATAAAGACTGATAAACACGAGTAAGAACTGATAACACTACAGGCAGATAGGACTTGAGTTATTTAAAGTATAATGGAATTTTCAACAAATCATGTTGCATGGCCTATATATGTACCTATCAAATTAAAGTTCTTCAATATTTCGTGACCCATCATGTGCCATGATGCGTTTAACACTAGCGCACGCGAGCAAAATTTTTTATAGATATGATATTAAACTGACTTGAACCTTTGTTTCGTATGCACCTCGCCAGAATCAAATCGACACAAGTTAAAAATATCATATACATTTATGATAAATTTAATGTCCCATCCTTTCGATAAAGATTCTGTCGTAATGAGAACGTTTAATTCCATCAACTGTACCGCCCGACATTGCATGTTCCGTTGTTCCGCGCGTAAATCATGGGACGAGAGAATACGAATCCCAGTAGCATTGAGTAGCATTTAATCTGATCACGCGTTTCCATGTGAAAAGTTATTTTCCTTTAAGAGTTTTCCTTTTGGCACTGGACTCTGGCATTTTTCCCAAGTTTTGACTATAACCTGTTATGAACCCAACAGAATTTTACCCTCTTTGACAAAAGGATTATTGTCCTCAGTAGTTGTTCTGGCAGATTTCCCTCCTTCTCTATAAGTCGGCGCTCTTTCATTTTAATTTGTAATATCTTTCAATATCTTTTGTATTCCTTGCCAAGGAACAATATTATTCGTTGTTGGACGAACGTAATATCAGTCAGGTTTCTACAGTGTTTTGAAAGTCTTATAGCGAAAATAACCCGATCGTCGAAATAACTCTAGCTTCCGCCACGAACTCAGCGAACTGACTTCATTTTGTCCTCCCAGCGCACAAGAAAGCGAGAATAGATCAGGGAAGATAAACTGCACCTTCTTTTCAATGCCCATTCTGTGTCAAAGACGCACTCGTTTTCCTTAATGGGGTCTGAATAAAAATCCCGAGCACTGTCTCCACTTAGTTGTTCGCCATCGCTGTTTTCATGGTTGGAGTAACGCACATTACGTGTAGTAACAATATTATTGTCAGACTCATCATCGGCGAAACATTCTTCGTATCCATCCATTTTCTCTGGCTAACAACACAGTCAAGATGCAGAAAACACGCTGGCTTCTCGGCCAGATAAGGTCCAGATGGATGACGACTAGAAGCTACTTGTGAGTGCAGTGCGTCAAACACGAGCGGTTATTTTTCTAGACTGATACATAGAACAATAGTTCACTCCGCCCACGGGTGGATTAATCACCTATAAATAAGTAAAGGGCAAGTATTTTAGCAGACGTTCCATGGTCTGTTGCCAGAAAATGTTCGGCGGTCGGAGAAAGCGAAATTGATTAAACCACAACACCTTGATAGGGGAGGGGAGGGTTAAGTTGTTACGTTCGCCATTCAAGGTCCTTCAAGGTCAGTCAGTTTTGAGGCCTCGTCGGGTATATATATTTTTTGTCTGCAAACCGACATCAGCGGGATTGCAACTTTGACGATGTATTAAGTTTAGATAAAATGTAGACCTTCTCAGGGCCGGCGGAGCCTCTGGGGCAGGAGGTGCTTTAGCCCCCGTTAGTTTTTCCAAAAATTAAAAGAAGTCCTCAGCCTCCCCACATTAGTCACCTAGTTAGTGCCCCATACTCCTCCCTCAACTTGAAAAATGTTCCGCCTTATATTACCAGCTTCTCCAAGTAGGTTTGTTGATCGACTTCTAAGATCTACATCTACTTTTCACAGGGTCCGCGTTAGGTCATCATAAAGAGATTTAGCATTTGACGGCAAATGGCAAACGTCAGACTCAAATTGAGAATTTCTCAAAGTAGAAAACGAGCAGATAATAACATTTTAAAACAATTGTTATGGATGAAAACAACGTGAAACTTCTTTTTTATTAAAGTAAAGAACAGTTAAAGACTAGCCTGTTCCAGGCGTTCAGTAGTAGAGCGCGGGAGAAAAATTCATCCCCGTCCCCACCCGTTTTTCCGGTGTACAATTTAACTTGCTCCCCACTGACTGCCGCGCTCTACCCTCTGAAGATCTCTGAACGCCTGGAACAGGCTAGTTAAAGACAAATAAAGGGAGAACTTGGTCACGTGGCACAAATTCACGTTTGCCGTTTGCCGTAAACGTGACTCTAATATAAGAAGCGCGAGGGACGATGGGAAGGAGGGAAGAAGGGGGTCTTTCGAATTTCCCTTTCACCTTCCCATCGTCAACTTCGCACTAGATGCCCTAAGAGTCTCCCGCGACCGTCCCATGACCCGTTGCAAATTTAGATGAACGAGGACAAGTCAGGTAAAGTGGGGTAAAGAAGGGTGTATTTCTGTATTCTTTGCCCTGACTATCCTGATCCTGGCTTCCGACATTGTTCCGAGGTCCGTCCAAGATAGCCACTGATAGGCAGTTCATTACAATTTATACAGCTATTAAATAGTATTTTATCGTATAAGATATGAACCATTTTATGAAATAGAGATCCGGATAACTAGGTGAACTTTCTTCTATCTCATTGTCGCAGCTTGATCCCTTGATTTTCCATTCGGCGGGTTTTAGAGACGAAAAAAAAAACTTCTTTTAACCAGATTGCACTAAACAATACTGACCAGTACTTTAAGATCCTTCGCAGTACCAGGTGGTGACACTTTCAGCGACCAGAATGGTAAAAATTTCATCTTTTTTTTTTTTGTCGCTTTTTAGTGTCATCATAGAAAGATCAATATCAGCCACACCATCCATCATAGAAACGTTAAATACCGTTCAGGGAGCTTCGCATATATAGTTTTTATAAAATATGGGTCAGGCTGAGTGTAAGCCTGCCTGTTCCAGTTCACAGTAGCCGGCGTAGCAGGCCTGCTTAACGCAGGATGAGTTCACAGACACGGGATGGCAAACCGGGCCTTAAATCAAGTTTTCGATACCAGTTTAGTTACCTGCGATCAGGCGTTTTCCTTCTTTTTTTTCGGGGAAGAACAAAAATGGAAGAAGGACTGCCTGATTGCGGGTTAAGTTCAGTGGCTTGGTGTCACCCACTGACCTGATTTCGTTACTTGAGGGAGTTCTGGACCCAGGCCACAAATCGACTCTTAACAAGGTCACGTGTTGACTTTGTTCGCGTCGAGGATCGCATGATCAGTGAGACGGCGGTCGACCCTGTTGCATAAAATTATGATGTGGTTCGTTTGGTATTGGGTTTGGAAGAGGCCTCTATAGACTATCGGGACAGGAAGATCGCTTGCCATATTACAGGTAAGACTATAACATGTTTATTCCTTAGCTTTGTCAAGCTTTATTTTACCCACAGAGTCTCAAAATAGGTTGCTGAGACGGATTTAACTTGATAGTTAAAACTGAAAAGCCAAAGCTGGTTCAAGTTTCCTTAAAAAAATGATTTGTTACAAATGCCCCATACAATTAAATAAACAATTTTGCGTTCTTTATAACTCGCAAGGAATTTTCAATTTAAAGCACTGACACTGAGTTAAGTTTCCTTAAATTTTTCTTTGAAAAAATCAGTAATGTATATTTTAAAATTGGATGACTTTTATGGCACAGTTTCGAAACTCCAATGTTCGAAAAGTCATTTACATGTTGATCTTTTGAGCCGTTCCCTCGATACGTTGGAGAATTAACAAGAATGCATAATAATTTACCTAGAGTATTGCTACAAGCAAACAGTATTTTTCTTGAAATCTGAGCCAACTGTGTTCGTTCTTTTCCTTTTTGCTACAAAAGAATGAATTTTTCCACCTTTTAAAGGAGGAAAAATTAGTTAGAGAAAAACGACAACGTTCCGTGCGCGTTTTTTTATTGCTTCTCACTTCCGGTTTGAAGGATTCGAATGCGCGAGACTTCCGCCGAGTGACATCAGCGGAGAACCTTCGTAAACAATGCGTGAAGTGACGTGGCGGTACAGTTCCTCAGTCATTTCAATGCGCGGAGACATGAGATTTGCAATGCAAAATAGTTTGCCTTTCTGTTAGTGTATCCTTGCTAGAAATTTGAAGATAATTCGAGCACTGAAATTTGATGTTCTCCTCAACTTTCTGGTGAAAGTTGGCTTCTTCGCCTAGCGGGGAAGACCAATAGTTCCGCCATGAATGGAAGGGGGTCATCTGATGTGCATTACAATTCGTAAACACCGTGAGTTTCCTTAATTTGATTTCACAAGTTCTGAAGTCATCCTTTGATGTTCTAAGACAAATGGCCCGATTCCCGGGCTTTTTCAACGCGACCCAGTATTTTGGTAAGTACTTATTTATCGTAGGAACCCTATGGGCTATTGTGCATCGCAACCTGTCGACAGTGACTCCACTCCACCGAATCTTCCAAAGTTACCAGCATGTTGTATCGCAATCAGCATTTTACATGGTCCATGAGTGAAGATGAATGAATATTGGAATTATATATGCTCACTTAAGAAAAGAGAAAATCAAAATTTTGAAGCAGGTTTTTTCATCAAGATTCAGAGTATTTTGCTCTTGTTTCGAAATTAACCAGGACAAAGTTAACTTCCGGTAAAAAGATTTTCTTAAAAGTGCAAAGGAGAAAAGTTAAAGATAAATTGATTACAAATCAGGACAGCAATTTGCTAGTTAGCTATTAAAAAACCAAGTATTTTAAATTTTTGAGTCACAGATTATATTTTCTTCAAATTTTTCTACAACATGTTAGTGTGAAGTTAATATGTGCAGTTTTCATGTACAAAAGGTTATCTTCGTCAGTAAAACTTAGAACGTGTTTATAAACTATAGATTACAGTTTTAATGCTAATTGTCGCTTGAAGTGCTGTTTGTAAGGTTTAAAAACAATCTGACTTAATGCTTGCATTGTCTGGTGTACGTATAAACAAATATTTCTTTGGTTGTTTTGTTACAAAACCTAACAGAAAATGCATGAAGAACTTTAAAGTGATTGTTTAGAGTTGTGTATCATAATGCTGAAGTCTTTTGTGGAAAAGGCACAACAGCATACAGTCCTGCAATTTACAAGTTGTCACATGTGTTTGATACATTATGGATAAGGATTTAAGCCAAATAAGATGGTTGCTTTTGTATATCAAAGGGGCTTTCTAAGCAGAGAGGATGTTGTTGTTAAATCAGGCTTTACACACTCTACAACATTACCAAGAGTCTGCCGTGGATTTAAGTAAGCTCGGCATGCAATCATGTGTCTTTTATATTCAAATGGTGTGAGGTCTACGGAATATGCTCAATCCAACACAGCCTTTGAAGAGGCCTTCCAAGTAGAGAGGATGTTGTTGTCAAATAAGGCTTTACACACTGTACTATATTACCAAGAGTCTGCCGTGGATTTAGTTAAGCTTGGCATACAATCAAATGTCATTTATAATTAAATGTGCAATCCAACACAGCCTTTGAAGAGGCCTTCCAGTGGTGGGGGATGGGAGGGAGGGGGGGTAATATGCTGTTGCTTTTTTCGGTCATTTCTGAGACTGCCTATCACCTGGTGGGTTAGTCATGTGTCCATATTACCTGTCGTTTCTACCCCTTGGAAGTCCTCTTTGAAGTACAAGGTAGATTTCAGTCTTGCAATCTGGGCACCCAAAGACAAAATTGACAGCAACGAGTTGATTGTTCTAGCAATATTAAGTGTACTTATTCTTTCACTTTCAGGGAGCACAAATTCTGTTAAAGATCAACAAGATTCCTTTTGGGACCAGCAGTCTGTGAGGTATTGTTATTGGTTAACTTGATCTAAGTACAATACCTGAATATCCCAATTGTTTTTTAAAGTTATTTGAATAGATATTACAAGTTTTTCATTGCAGTTGCAAGTGATTTACCTTAAGTGTCACTTCTTTTTTCTAGTGCAAATCATTCATCTGGAGTTTTTAATGGGAATGCCGCACAGCCTAACCATTTTATGAACAACACCCAGGTACTGAAATTGTTATCATACTGGAAATTAAAATACAACATCCTGTTAATACGGACACTGTCCAGATAGTCTACTGCAGGGCTGTCATGAGGAAGTTTTAGCATGGACGACGGCTACGGCAGCGAAAACGTCACTTTTACAATGAATTAGTGTGTTTCAAACTTGATCAAGTTTATTCCAATTTGCTGAAAATATCCAGTATAGGCAAATTTCCCTGGAGTTGATTTCTTCGGGACCGCACTCTAGTTTAGAAAGAGAAAGACCTTTTCGTGGTCGCTTGTTTGTGTACTCCATAAAACGTGAAATTAGGCATTTTTATGTCGTAGTTGTGCAGCAATGGCAAAGAAATGTACAAAAAAGCATGATGCACGTGCAAACTTGTTGTTTTTTCTTAATAAACCTATTGCTGTTTTGACATTCTCGTTGCCAGTGCAGTCATCGGTGCTAAAACTCCCTGTTAATAGGCGGGGGCTGAGGATTTTGCCCGGCTGTTGTGAATATGGCCCCCTGCTTCTTTCAAAGGAAAACAGTAGAACAAATAGAACCAAAAGAAACCCCTAGCTGTTTGATTCCCCTCCTGCTTGTTGTGCTTATCCAGCAACTTCAAATCTTAGTGACAACCCTGGTCAACTGTCTACTCATAGTGATAGAGTTTTCATACCTTTGTCAACATCTGGCTACTGAAACCTTGAATGCCCGAAAAAAAATTTTTAATGTTATTGTGTTGCGAAGTTAAAGCAATTTAGGTATAAGTTAAATTTAACAACAAACAGTGTGTAATGGTAACAATATTGCATACGGGCAAACCACTAGGAAGTGGCCGTCACCCCTTATGTAACAGCCAGTTATCCCTTTGAGTCCCATGAAAGATAAACGTCAGTTTTCTTCTAAGATTATATTAATGCTTAATCATGTAGAAACGTTTAAAGAATTAACGAAATGATTGCTTAAGGGAAAATTTTCGGATATTTAAACAAAATTCTCTCATATAATTTTCTAAGTAAATGTATAGAGATTAGTCTGAAGAGTTTGTATGTGGACATTGGGACATTTTTGCTGTTAACTTGGGTATCCAGTTATCCAGTGTGATGCATACTAGTTTACACATTCCCAGTATATTTCAGTGGTTGATAGTTACTCTTAGTGTAACTATAAGTAATTTGTTGGTTACTTAAAGATTGAAAAAGCATTTTTTTTCCTATTTTTTCAGGAGTACTTTGTGGATGGATGGGAAGACTGGCCTGATGATTTTGATGATTCTGAAATTCAAGAAAATGAACTAAACAGCTTTAACCCAGTAAGATACATGTATAGCTCTTTCAATATTTGAAAATTATCTCAAACACAAAGGAATGGAGTAGATAGAGAATAGAATGCCTTTGCTTTGGTCTACTGAACAAAAATGGGTTGATGACTTCAAACAAATGTTGGAAATGGTGAAAGTGAAAGTTTAAGCAAAGTACTGATGGGAAGAATGGGTACTTGCATTGGTCATCCCTGCCATTTGGCATCAACATGATTCTTTAGAGAGCTTAAACAACAATGACAGCGATGGCTATGAAAATGTCACTTAAAAAGTAAAGTCACCCAGCTTCAAACTTTATCACGCATATTCCATCTCGTTCAATTGATCAAATGTTGGCAATTTTCTCTGGAGTTGAATTCTTAAAGACTGTATCGAAGTTCAGGAAAAGAAAAAGAAAGTCATTGTTTTGTGTTCACGTCTTCCATAAAACATGAAAATATGAGGCATTTTCACATCGTAGTTGTGCAGTGATGGCAAAGAATGTACTGAAAAAATGTGATGCACATGCAGAGCTGTTGTTTTGCCAATCTACACTTATTGCCTTTTTTCCGTTCTCGTTGATGTCACCGTCATCGTTGCTTCAGCTCCCTATTATGTCTCTATCATACCAATGATAAAAACAACTGGGTAAAAGCTTTAATTTGAATGGTCAGACCAGAGCATGCATTAATGAAAAATTAGAACTTACAACTACGTTATACATTGCATGTTCCTATATTATATTTTTAAAAGAATAACATGGTGTGACTACATTGGCAATGATGGCCAAGCAATACTGCTAGCTTCACATTTTTAGCCTTTTGTTTTGTTGTGTAAAATACCTGACTGACAAAGTCAAAATTTGTGTTAATTTGTTTTCCAGGGAAGTGAAAAATTGGTTGTGCCAGACCGTGAAGATAGTCAGACCTCGTCTTCGGAGGAGGATTCACCTCCCCCTGGTATGGATCCTGAACTGAATTCTTGGGTAGAGGAAGAGGCCCCCGACTATGGCTACACCTCATATAACAACTCAGCTGCTTCATTTTTTGATGGACATTTTAACACTCAGCAGCCTGGTATCATGACAGAGGTTAGTTTTTGTCATTTTTGTTCTGTAAAATATATTTTGTAGGTAGTGCAGGTACAAAATGTTCTTTCATTAAGTCAACAGGAAACAGTGGTACCACTGGCCACAGTCAGTGGCAGAGGTTGTCAATGTACAGTGTATATATGTATTTGTATTTATTTGCCACACATAAAACAATTACATATAAAATTTTACAGTTTAAAGGTACAAAAAAATGTACAGGAAGAAATGGCGAGGAGGTCTAAGGAAACTATAAAGCTTACCATAAAATTCTGAAAATAAGCCCCTCCAAATATAAGCCCCCCAAACTTGTAATGCCAAAAAACCCCTGTTACATTGCCCCTCTGAATATAAGCCCCCTATAAGCTAGCCCAACTGAGTTTGAAACGCAAATTTCCCTCCATACGTAATAAGCCCCTCTGAATATAAGCCTCTCCAAAAATAAGCCCCTCAAAAAGGGCCTTTGAAAAATATAAGCCCTGGGCTTATTTTCAGAATTTTACAGTATGTTAATTAGGCCTCCTCAATTACAATTTTTTCAAATGTGTCATAAAAATTACGGCGACAGATACAAAATATTATCAGATGGAAAATTAAAATAACAATCAATATTAAGGAAGTTTACAAATGTTGAATATTAAACAGCTTTTTCCCAAGATTTTTGTTGGAGTATACTAATAATAATTATTACAGTTAGATGTTCTAGCTTTGTTGTAGCAGCAATTTTGAAGCTTTGTTGGGCAGGCTCTCTTGTGCTGTTTTGGTGGAGTAGTCTTTTCCTCCCTCCCCTTCACTCCCTGTGTTTTGTTTTCACTGCTAACTGTATGTAATTGTACTTGGATGCATTTTAAAGGTACTAATCGCTAGGTTGTGGGGACTGCCACTCATAGAATGGTACTTGGTCCTAGCTGGCAATTCTGTCGTCAGAATTGTGTAAAATACATCTTGTATTGCTGTTTTGTAAAATCCCTGTTACAAAATCATTTTTCATAGTTTAAAGCGAGCTGAAATTACTTTCTTTTTTCCTTATTGTCTAGCATGATGGAAGATCCTATGCAAGTGTTTGTCAGACTGGTACCACTGCACCACCTGATAACAGTCCTTCATTGCAGCCGTCAAACAGCCTTCAACCAGACTACTGGTCATCTCCAACATTCCAGGATCCATATGCTGTCCAAGAGGTCAACCCAGAGGTTACTGATACCCAGCAAAATGCACCAACTTTTGAGTCATGGAGTCGTGAACCTGAGCTTGGCAGCTGGTCTCCTGTGTTTAATCATGATGATGAATCATTTGCTAACTCTACGCAGGACGTACCTTCAACACTGCCTCAGCCTCTGCAGGTTGCTGATTCCACTCAAGAACCACAGATCAACTCTTTAAGACCTAGTGAAGAGCTGGATGCACATGTACCACAACAGCAAGGTAGGAGACTCAAGTTTTGTCATGCACATCCTAACATAGCCTGCACCACAGATGAAACTAAACTCTGGTTAAGGTATCATCTGCCCTCAAGCACCCTCCTCACGTTGATCGGCGCTAGCACTTTTGCTTTTAATTAATACCCCCATAAACCGTGCATTTTCTGAAAGCGTAATAGTTCCAGATTATTGCTAATTCCTTTTAAAAAATCAAAATATTAACGCAATTTAGAAATGAGAAGCTTTTTGTGAAAGTGGGTGTCACTGTAAATTTAAGTCCAGGCCAGCCAAAAATAAACGAAAGAAGCCAATTAAGATCGCATTTGCTTCTTAACACTTTTGACTAAAAAACCATGTCTCAGATTTTTGTCAAGTGCGTTTGTTCTTTTGTTACAAGCAATTGAAGTTAGGGATCCAGCAAATCATTAGCACTACCTGTGAAAAAACTACTCTAACTCGAAAACGAAAAAAGAAATCAAAATTCGCAGACACGGTTTTTTAGAAAAACTATCCGACAGTAAGTTGGCCAAATTTCAGCCAAATTGGTTCACAGGTTGCCAACTTGGAGTTTAAAACGTACCCTCAACTTGCCCTGATTTTCATTTCGAGAAATCAGTGGAAAAAGAGTTTTGGTGGCGTATTTCCCGTGACGAGATTATAACAGATTATAACACCAAAGCTGTCAATGTTGATGTATACCAGAGAAGGGACAACAATAGAGTCACAACAGGAAAAGGTCAAAAACGAAACCCGACAACAGATGAACAATTTATTTCAAAGGCTTTTCTCGGTTTGGTCCTTTCTGTTGTCTAGAGAGCATCATTACTTATTTGCGATGGGCTGTTTTCATTTTTGCACTGGGCAAGCCAAGTTGAGCCAAGCCCACTTTTAAACAATTTCTAAAAGTTCGACACTTCCCTGGAGAAATTGACAACAAACCGCTTCCTGGAGTTTTGAAGCTTCTCTCCCGCTACAATAGACTTTCAAAACAGTCCTTCGTCCGATTTTTATACGGCGCGGGACATCTCGCGACTTCATCGCTGGCCTGACTGCTTCGCGGCCAAAAAAGCTTGTCCCGCTCACTAAGAAACTTGTTAAACTCGATTCCGTGGTGGTTTCAATGGTTTTTCAAGAGCTTTGTCATCTCTTAGGCATTTTTCTTGATTGTAGTAGTAGCCCTTCTCTCTCTCTGCTAATTTTGAAGCCCACTCTTTGCAAAAGGATTTTGTTGTCTTCTTTTGTCTTGGAGTCGTGTACGAAAACGGACAAGCTTTTTTTTCTTCTTTGGAGGCATTCATTTCCAAAATCCAGGGAAAAACAGTGAGTACTATACTTGTAGACCACGATTTCTGTCAGATTGCGTGATAAGCTTGGTTCAACAGCGACATGCGTATCAAGTATGACGTATCAAGTTTTGATCTCCATAAGTCTGCACAGAAAAAACATTTTTTCCTGGATTTTTTTTAAAAGAAAGCTCTTCATTAGCTCTATTTAATCATTTAAAAATTGCAAATTTCGAAAAATTATGATTTTTTACCCTGGATGATACCTTAAGTCTGTGTGCGAAACAGCGCTGGAATCCTTGTTTTGGTCCCCCAGCTGTGTACTAGGATTTTAGTACGCTCCATGATTAGCCTGTTAAAAAAGACATTGTTGATTTGTCAATGAAGATGAAAGGAAATTTGAAATGCACTTGCGGTGATTCATTGAGTTCGTTGGGGGCCCAGAACAGGGATTTCGGGGCTTCTTAATTTGCACACGATACTAACCAAGGTTAAATAATGTCTGTGATGCAGGCTAATCCTAACACTTTAAGATTTTAACTACCAGAAGGCATCACTTAACACATGCACTTTTTTCTCGAATGTTACAAGTAGTTTCAAGTGATTGGTTCAAGTGTGTGATTGTTTATCATATGACTGGCTCTGCAAGTGGGCAAGGTGGTGAAACACACCAAGGCAATGAATTCAGAGAAGAGCGTCCTATGTTCAAAGAATATCCTGAAAGCTAAAATGGGCTCCCCTGAAGTAGGCAAGATAGGTCTGTCTTGCCATCATTTTTGATCATTGGAATAACTTGAACTAGAAGTTGAGTTAAAATAAGGCCTAAAGTTGCCCATTACAAATTATTTTAAATATTCAAAATATATTTTGGATTTTCCCTAAAGTAATGTCATCTCCTAGCCTTCAGTCTTTTAAAGCACACTGATTTTCCTGGTATCTTTAATATAAGTTTATGCATTATTAATTTTTATAATTTATAGTCTTTTATAGTCATTTGAATATTTAATTTTTTTTTTTTTTTTTCAATGCCACTTCCTCAGCATGTTCTGGCTAGACTTTTTGTCTTGCTCATTTAGGATCATAATTTTATTTCCCACCACTTCTGAAGGGCAGCAAGACAGTGCTTGGTCTGCACTTACTGAATCTGACCTACAGAAAGCAGCTTTGTGGGGGAACCTACCAGATGTTCACCCTCCTTCAGGTCATGTGCCTGTTGAGAATAGCCCATTCCATCAAGACACAGCTGCAGTGAGTCATCAGAGCTCATCTGGATTATTCCAAGAAACTATGGCATCTGAGACAGATCAGCAATCCTCAGTGCAGCAATACCCTGGAATGGAAAGTCCATCTGGGGTATTCCAAACAAACATGCCTTCTGAGCAAGATCAACAATTTTCACTGCAGCAATACCCAGTGATGGAAAGCCCATCTGGATTTTTTCAAATCAACTCAGGCTCAGAGCCGGTCATCAATGAAGACAATACCTTGGGTCAGTCGATGAGCCATCCTAAGTCCATCGCTGATTCAATGCAAAATGACCCAGAGGATCTTTCTGTGGCAGAGGAAAGTCCATCTATGCAGCCATTACACCAGGATGCCGATTCAATAATCAAGCAGTCATTCTCTGCTGAGCAGATGCAGCCACAAATGCAAATGTCATCTGCTGTGGCAAATGAGGCATTTTACCCTTCTCAAGAACTAGGACAGCAAATGTACAATCCAAATCTTTTTTATGACCGGCAGATGAAGGCAGATCCAACTCAAGAAGAGAGGGTTGCTTCTGAGGAAACACATCAGACAAAAGAACCTCAATTTGATGAGCTGCAACCATGGCAACAGCCAATAGCTGATCCAGTGAGGGAAGTGGAGTCATCGGTTGAAGAACCAAGTAATTTGCATCCTAGTCATGATAGTTCGGCCTTTGAATCCTCACTGATGCCACAGGTTAATGAACTTCCTCAAGAACAAGTTTTTCTTTCAACTGGTGCCATTAGTGAGCAGGAAAAGTCTGATATGGCTCAAAATAACTTCCTTCCTGGTTATAATGAGGCAAACTCAGAACCCACACAACTGCAAGAGTTTGAGATCACTCCAACAAAAACTTCTGAGCAGCCAGCCATTGCAGATGATTTTCAGAATTCTTTTGACCAAAATAATTCAACTACAGATTCCATACAGCTAGTGCCAGCCATTGTTTCTTCAAGGGGGTTTTCTGGACAGTCAGTGACTCCTGATATTTCATATCCATCAGATAGTGTTCAGGGACTCTTCGGGAATGAAAATATAACTTCAGAATCTTCAAATCCATGTGAAACTCCTCAGCAGTTCATTAAACCAGAGATTCCTGGTGCTCCTGACATCCTTCAGGATTCATTCCACCTTGACAATTCAAGTGCAAATTCTTCAAATCCACTGGAACTTAAAATGCCTTCAAGAGAATCTTCTAAACAATCACAAACACCAGATATTCCTATAGAACCAGACAGCCCTGGGGATGCTCTACAGGCTGCGTTTCTACAGAAACAACTTGCTGGAAAGGCACCAGCTGCATCACCACGGACATCCCTGTGGATGAATGGCACTGTGCTACCAACTCCCTGCGTTTTAGCGCCAGCTGCTGTTGTTACCCCAGTTGAAACACCACAGTTGCACGAAAATGACCAAGCTCCTACTTGCAACAAACAGGTATGACATTTGTTAAATGCCTGGGTGAGTTCTTAGCCCTAGAAGTCCCAATATCCACTTACAAAAGACTGCTCTCCAGAAAAAATAAAAAATGACACTTTTGTTCAAATCTTAGTTAAACTGTGCTCGGACATGAAGCTTTTCATGTGCTGAACATGATTTGGATGTTGAATATCAAAGCCAACCGAAACTGACAGAAGTGTGTGTGTTCAGTTGATTCAAACAGCCATATTTTTATTCAAATAGAGTACAGTGGAACCTCTATAAAATGAAGGCCCAAAGGAATGAATCAAATACTATGTTGACTAGGAGGAGGTTTTGTTATGTTAAGGCTCTTTTCCACATAATCTGCTATTACCAGGGCAAAGAATATCATTAACCCTTTAAGTGCCGATAGTGACCAAGATCAATTTTCTCCTAACAATATCCATATGTTACCAAGAGAAATGGTTATGAGAGTTAATAAAATGATCACCTAAGAAAAAATGCTTTGATCTTCTACCAAATTCTCTCAACTTATTCCTTAAGGAAATGTATAAAGACCAGTTTGGAGAATTTGTATGTGGATATTGGGGCTTAAAGGGTTAATTTTGTTATACTGAAGACTTCATTATTATAGAGGCTCATTATCTTTAATCTTTAATCACAGTTCGTAACCATACATAACAGATACAAATGAACTAATACTAACATATACAATCGAACAAAAATACAAAAATGGTTAACAGGATGGTAGTAGGGGGAAACCAAATTCCCATGCTAAGACATACCTTCCAAAAAAGAAAAAAGAAAAAAAAGAAAAAAAAAAATTAATTAATATATAAACATATATTAAAAGACTATAAATTAGATTATAAATTATAAACCTAGATGCCTAATAATAATGCATAAACTTATATTAAAGACACTATGCCTAATATTTTAAGGTAAATTATGAAATCAAAACTTTAAAAGACTGAAGGCTTGACATTACTTCAGAAGGCAAAGAGTTCCAATCATTAATATATCTATGAAAAAATGAATATTTAAAATAATTTGTACGGGCAACTTTAGGCCTTATTTTATACTCATGCTTACTTTTAGTTCGAGATGGCAATTGATATCACAGTAACCAAATATAATCTTATACGTTTGAACTAGGCTAAGATATTTCCGTCTCAGTTCTAAAGAGTCCCATTTTAACTCTAACAGTCTTTCAGGATATTCTTTGTCGGGGCCACATATTAGTCGGGACACTCCATTCATGGTTGAATTCTTGATACCATCTTGTTTGAATAACCAAATGTCCTTTAATCAAGACTTGTTAGTTTAGCACAAATTGAGTTAATGTGATAATCCCATGATTCCAACCAAAGTCCCAGGTGTTTGTGGTGGTCCACTTCCGGTAGTAAGATGTTACTCTTATTGGATCATTCTTCCGTGTAATGTCTTGATGTCTTACTGTGCCTGTCTGATTGCTAAGTTGCTTACTGATATTTTCTACTGTATGAAAGGCTTGGTGTGTGAATCAAATGGTTGGCCCAGCAATCCAAAGTTTGATGTATCCATTCGTGGTTGATTCCTGTGTGTTATTTGGACTCCCGAGATGTCTAAACTGAACCATTCCATCTTTTGTTACACCTACATTGATGCAACCTGACAGTGTGGACAAAAACATCCCTGTTGTAGTCAGTCAGCAAAGTCCAGCAGTCCATTCTCAAGGTACATCACCCCCTGTTGTCATCCATCAGCAGGTGCTGTCTGGAGAATTACCGGTTTCTGCAAACCCTTACAACCAGGGTAGTGAACTTCCTCCTGTGGTCAATCAACAAATACCACCTGCTCCATTTGCTCCAGGACCAACACCTCCTCTTGTACATCCTGATAGCCAGGGAGTAGGGCATCCTGTGGCAGTCAGTCAGCAGATGCCGCCTGCTTCATACTTTGGCGGAGTAACATCTGTGTCAACAGTCTATGATGGACAGGTTACAGAGCTTCCATCAGCGTTAAATCCTCAGATGTCTTCAGCTTCGTCTGCATTTGTGACAACACCTGTGCCTACACATTCTGACAGCCAGGGAACAGCACTCCCCCCTGTGACCAATCAACTAATGGCACCACATGGACAGTCTGTCAGTGGAGCATATACTATGTCCGCACACCCAGGTAATAACGTTACAGAGTTTCCACCTGCAGTCAATGAACAAATACAACCTGTCCCATCTCCTCTTGGATCAACTCATGCATTCATGCACCCTAGTAATGAGAGTACAGCAGTTCCTGCAGTGACCAGTCAGCAAATACAGTCATACAATCCTATCCCTGCTGGGGTAACACCTGTTCCCCCAGGCTCTGTTAATGAGAGTACAGTGCCTTTTACTGCAAATAATCAGGAAATATCTTCAGTTCCACCGACTATCAATGACTCTATGCAAGAGCGACATCCTAGTCGTGTGGTGCCAGCAATTGAGTCATCACCAGTGGCTGCAAAACAACAACAAAAAGCTGAATCTGCTAATCCCATGTCATTAGCTTCTCTTCTTCAGGGAGGTCAACCTCGACCAAAGAAAAAGACCTCACAACCATCTGCAGTACCTGCACCAGATGCGGGACCATCCTTTGCTGCCATGGATTCAGTGAATTCATTTTCAGACAATCCACCATCAGAATCCATTAATTCACACTGTGCTCCTTCTGCTGAACAACTTAACAGTGGATTAGAACCAAAGCCTCTGCAGAACTCATCTCAACAAATTGGACATCAGTCATTTGATTCTCCTAGAAGACAAGATGAGTCACAAAATTCTTATGAAAGAGATTATAATAACCCTTATTCACAAGAAAAACAAAGGGTCCCTAATGAATCAGCCTATCATGGTACTGCAGACCCCCATGATAGAAGGGATAATTATTATCAACATGATCAAAGAGACTCTTATAAGAGCCATAATAGAAGGGATCCTTACCAACATGAACATGACAGTAGAGATCTTGATAGACCATATTATGATAGAAGGGAACCTGAAAGAAGGAACTTTGACAGGAGAGGTGAATATGGCCGAAGAGATAGCGATTACGGTCGGAGATCATATGACAATTCTAGGGAATATGATAGATGGAGTTATGATGGAAGAGATTATGGCCGCAGGGACAGTTATAACAATCGGGACTCTTATTACGACTATGGGTACTCTCCCAGAATGGGAAGGCATGGATACAATGATGGCCGTGGCTCAAGAGAAGATCTATATAGAGGTTCTAATCAATACAGTGGACGCAGTACACCATCGTCACAGGACAGAAACAGTCCTGGTCCATATGATTATTCTGCTTCTCCTTATGCGTCGCACCAGTACGGATATCCTTCTTACACTGACTCACATTCCATGGACCTTTATCAGTATCAGTATATGATGTACCTGTACCAATTTCATCCTCAACATTACGAGCAATATTGCCAACAGCTGGGATATTACAGCTCAGGATATACACCAGAGCAACTAGCTCAGTACTATGCAGGATATGGCTACGGAAGTTCACAGCCCACAGAGCAAGGTAAGAATTATATTTCTCTTTTGCTACAGTCAACTGTCTCTTAACTGACACCTCTGTAGGACACCTAGAGTTGGTCCCTGCCTTTTTTTAATCCTTTTATTTGACTCTCTGTAAGATGGGCATTGCTCTTAGTCAGCCACTTTGTGCTAGTCCCTGCCCAAACGTGTTCGTCTTAGAGAGAATTCACGGTATTTGTGTAGAGACAATAATTGATTCTCTTCGAGATGCACCTCTTGCTGTCGGTCTTGTGTAGAGGAGGCATCAGTTAAGAGAGAGTTTTACATGTATATTTTTCTTTCATATTACTTTCTAGTAGCGTTCAGTGTCCCCTGGCAACTACGTAGCATTTTGCTTTTGGATGATGAGGAAATATTAGTTTTGTAGGTCAAGAGCTGTTTTACTCGCTAAAATTTTTCTTAAATTTACACATGTCAAAGTTTTATTGAATAATGTCCCTGGCAAGTGATAATAAACTGAAGGGCGGCCTGGACTGAAGCCCTTACAGAGACTTCTGATAAAATGCAAGATTCTCTTTTGTACCTTGTATTTTCCTGATAACTGAAAGGAAAATTTGGTCCTAGATCAGTAGTCACTTAGGGTCTTTCTTTTTCCTGTTTTTCTGTTTTTCTGCATATACTTGATAATAAAAGGGTAATTTGGTATTAGACCAGGACTCACTTAGGCCCTTTCTTTCCTGTTTTGTTAGCTTCAGAGCAAGAGGTACCTCAGCCAGAACCAGAAAGGTTCACACCACTTTTATACCGGGTGCAGCATCCTCTGGTGCGCTTTAGTGGGGGCAAACTGGTATCTTTAATTGGAAGTGAAGACAGTGAGACACCAAAATGCACCCTAGCTTCAGTTCAGGTGAGACACTTGATGATTACTTCTGTTGGTAATTTTTGTGAAATATCCATCCTCTAGCCATCCATATTCCATGCACTTTATTAAACAAGTTTGCAAATTTCATTTTGTAAAGTTTTGAAAATAAATAGCACTATGTGAAAGTGCAGACAGAGTGCTTTCATTTGAATGATCACATCATAGGATTTCATCCACAGACTTAAAAGTTAGAGTCACCTTACAAAACTCCATCAAGCACTCTGGCAGTGAAAGGGTTAGAGTTTTGCATTGTTTATTAAGTTTTTCATCTTTTGGGGGCAGTGTTTATTTGGGGGCAGCACTTCCCTTGACCTCACCATTTGTGATTAAGATGGTACTACGACATCTTTCTTTCCCTTTTTTGTTTGTAAGCTACTGATAAAAAAAAAACAGTGTTATTCTGTCATTATTTTGGAACTTTGACTTTTATTAAGGTCTTGTTTACACTTTGCTTTGCCTGTTGTTTGGATGCTGGATTTTTCAGATAGATTGTAAAACTAACCAGATTTCCTATATTCTTTCAACGTACAGATGGTTTTTAGCGTTGAAGATACAGAAGTTATTAAACTCTTTCCTGGACCACTTTCAAGGTTTGTCTTTTTTTCTGTAGCTCAGTGCTGAGTGTGAGAGGTCAGTTAGAAGTACTTAGTTGGCCAAAAAGTCAAAGTTCTGTATCATTTGAATGCCCACTTAACAACAACAACAACAATAACAACAACAAAACTTTTTTGAGAAGCAAATAATATAACAAAAGTACTGCCTGCTGCATGCTAGCATGGCTATTCAAGATGGGACAAAATGTGGGCAAAAGAAAAGAAGAAATTAAAGGGAACCTCCACTTCAACAAAAAGATAACTTTAAATCACAGGAAATAACTGTTACAGTCAAGTCAATCTAAAATATTTTTAAAGAAAGCGTTTGTATCCGAAAGAAATAACAACAAAATTTTTGTCTTCAAATTTTTGTTGGCGTCGCCATCTTGAATAAATAATATAAACAAAAAGCTCTTTGTGTCTGAACAATGCAGCAACCGCATGGCAATTATTCAAGATGGGAGAAATTTGAAAGTGAAAAATAATTTTTAAAACTTTTCCTGATATAAACACTTTTTTTAAGACAAATTTCGAACAAATTTGTTTATCAACATAATTTTATTCGATTTAAACTTATTCTGTAGTAAGAGTGGAGGTTCGCTTTAAGATTAAGCCTATAATTAAGGAACTCCATAGAAATTACCCTAATTCAGCTTGCTCCAAGGCTAGTTGCTACTTCAGTTTACTAGTGTAAAGTAACGTTTGTGAGAATCTGGAGACTGTTTGTGTTCTTTTTGTAGCCGGTACTCAAGCAGAACTGAGGTGATGGCATTCTGTGAGAAGCGAAGCTGTGGAGCCATCTTGACCACTGATGGTGTTGTAAAATCTTTGGTTTGGAAGGTCTTGGGCAGTCTTGTTAAACACAATGGAGTGAGTAAACCTGTCTTGTTGTACTTTGAATCACTGCTATCAGTACCACGAGATCAGGTTTTACCTTGTTTAGTTATAAGGAGCACACCTGCAAGTGTATATTCACTTAGCCTATTTTTGCCCCTCCAATTATAATCCACCCAAACTCATAACGCAAAAAATCCTCCGTTGAATAACCCCTCCAAATATAAGCCCCCGGGGCCTTGTACTTGGAAATTTCCCTCAAATACAAAGTAAAACAAAGCAAAAACGGTAAATTTCCTTCCAACTATAAGGCTAGCCCAATCTATTTTGAAACACAAATTTCCCTCCATAGAGGAGCCCCTCCGAATATAAGCCCCTCCAAAAATAAGCCCCTCAAAGAAAGGGCTTTTGAAATTTTTGGAATTTTATGTTATTTATCATGAAAGTGCCAACTGGGGACACTATTTTTACGTCACCTACTTGAGACGGAACCACCATTTTTTGTTGTCATCCAAGCCACACAAAGGTCCAGCTGCTTGCAGTGCAAAAGGAGTGCCTTCATTTCTCAATTATTTTAAGACCCTGAGTAATGGTCTGGCCTCGGGAATAAAACCCGTGACCTCTTGCTCTGCAGTCAAGCGCTCTACCGACTGAGCTAATCCTGCCGCACTTTGAATCTTCAGGCCTTTGTGGCATGTGACCTTGCTGAAGTAATAATGGAGAACTGGAGAAGTTCCAATGACCGTGGGGAGAATGACTTTCTTGCCCCTGAGAGTTTGCCTCCTACAGAGATTGATACCAACCAACATGTGATGGTATTCAGAGAGATGCTTTTGGCTGGAGCAACTAAGGTAAAGATTGTGAAGTTGTCTTTCAAAAAAATTAAAAGGTGTCTTATTTTTTGTCAGCTGCAATTTGGCGAATGCTGCTGTTGTTTGTCATCTTGGCTAACAGTTTTTGAGCTCTAAGTCTTAGGCAGTTTGTTTTGGAACGCTTACCTAGTGTCATCTTTTATTTTATCTCTCATGGTTTACCTCTTGTAAGTGGCCACACAAATGCGAAGATTTAAGAAGTGTTTTTTTTTTTCACACAAGAATAGTGTAGTACATAGAGCAAACGTAGAGATCAGACCATGCATCAAGAATTCACTTACTTACAAGAGGTTAAAAATGAAAATGTCTTTTACTAGACAGCTCTCTAAGCTGTGACCATTTTGGTCTCCATAATACTGGTAAGTGGAATAAAATGATCGTAAATAAAATTTCAGCAGAATCCACTGATTTGCCTACCTGTCACTATAGCAGCTATGTGCTAATCGGGAGCATTTTTATCAGTTGTGTTTATCGTCTTTCTAAGTCTTATATGAAATGGAGAACACGTCGCGAAAATGAGTGTGTTTCCCTCATTTTCGTGACATTTTCTCCATTTCATAACAAAATATTTGCATCTTACCCTGGTTGTGTAGGTAGCCTTGAGATGGCCATGCACCTCCAAATTAGTTAAGCAGTTATTTTCAACTTCCCATATTTAATGTTAAAGAAAGTGTCCTGTTTTGTTCTGGCAGCCAATTTTTTATGTTTGGCAACCATTCAATAATTTTAGATTGCCAATTATATGGCAACTTTGAAAAAATTTCAGCTCAGAGCACTTGAGGTTCCAACCATAGGGCTTTGACTTTGAAAAATTGGGGCGTTTTTTAGTGTTGTGGAAACCATTGTTGGTTCACCTTGAGTTGTACTGTTGTGAGTTATTGTTCAGCATCGCATCTGTTCTCCTGCATCACTCCAACAAAAGGTGCAACTTTTCAAAGTCTCAGCTTTAAGTGTGCTTCTATATTGCTGTGAGTCTTGGGTCCTAACATCCAACCTCTGTCGTCAACTTCATTCCTTCCAAACGTCTAAGTTGCCTTAGAATCATACTTGGCAAGGAAGTCTATGGTAGAGCACCAGGGACAGTCCCCCTTTCCCAATCAGTTAAAGCCCAATGGCACCCCCAGGGGAACCTTATTTCTAAAATAATATGCTCTGTACCACCCAACACATTGTAAACCAAGACCTGGTGGGCATAAAATTCTATTCAACGAATATGATGGAAAGCTAATCAGTCCAGAAAATCCCCCCCTTCCTCACAAAATCTGTACTTTGGCACAGGACCACAAAGCCTGGAAGCGCATGGAGGTCAACTCTTGGCATCGCTGGAAACCCCCATGAGTGCCTCGACCGAGCAGAGAGAAAGAGAGAGATCCTTTCACAACAACTAAAAACTAACAAAAATTGGTGTTTTGCATTGGTGGTTACTTACGTGATGTCAGGTCTCACATGGAGGGTTGACTGTGTATCAAAAGAGTATTTTATTGTAATTTAATAACATTAACCAGTTGTCTAAAATATTGCCATGTTTGTTGTTTTTCTTCTGCAGGATGCTCTTGAATACTGCATGAGGTACCGACTTTGGGGACATGCTATGATGCTATCGTTAAAGCTGGATAAGAAGATTCAAGTGGAAGTGTCCAATAGGTAGAAAACCTGTTGATAAGTCTTACCTTTTTATGTGGCAAAATTATCTATCAATTGAAACAATAATATTAATCTGGCCTTTGTTAATTAATCGCAGGTTTTTGAAGACAATGACAGACTTTGATCCAATACGGACTGTTTATGATCATCTCTCTGGAAGGCAACCTGTAGCATTAATGGTAAGTTACCTTCCTGAGGAACAAACCACTGAGATGGTACACGTTTAATGAAAGAGTGATTTTATTTCAAAACACTTGTGAACCATATGAGAAACAGTACCATAAGAGTTGAACTGCCCTTGCTGAAATTCCTAGGGGCGGGAGGAGGAGGGGGGGCGGGGTTGGTACTCTGGATTTCAAGTGATGGGGATGATTGGATGGGGGCAGAAATCAAAACCCAAAAAATCCCTAGGGCTTCCAACAAACCCTTCCCCCCCCCCCAAAGAAACCATGGACCAAAAATTATACCCCAGAAATTCCCATGGCAAATATCTGAGCCTTATTAAGTGGTTTTATGAAACAGGTGTAATGTACTACGTTAAATATTGGGATACGCTGCCACTAGCACAAATCTTCAGATTGTTTTGAATACTCCCGCCCCTCGGACTGAAGATAGCAAATTTCTGAGATAGTAAATTTCTGAGCCTTATTAAGTGGTTTATGAAACAGATGCAATGTACTACGTTAAATATTGAACAGCCGCAAAACAACGCAGCTGGGATACGCGGCCACTAGCACAAATCTTCACATTGTTTTGAATACTCCTGCCCCTCGGACTGAAGATCTCCAAGCATGTACACTTTCAATAGTCTCCTCAAAGTAGACTTAGTTGTGGACAGAACCCAGTAGCAGAAGATTAAAAAACATGTGTGAAGGATTTTATTATTATTTCTATTTTCAAGAAAAAGATCTGGGTCCAAAACTTTTTTCAAGATCTTTAGGATTAATTCTTCCATCAGAAGTTGAGGCATGACGATTGATTTTTAACGTTTTTTCTTTGTTTGTTTGTTTGTTTTTTTTTCTTGGTGTACTGTAGTGTAATAAGAGACTAAAAAATTCTTATTTGTTGTACTGTCTGGATTTTAAGTTTACTATGGGCAACACACTTGTCAACAAAATAGAAATTTCTGGATCGCTGGCATTTATGATGTTAGGCAAAAACAGTAATTTGTTGTTCAACTGAACTTAACATTCTTTTTATTTTGTTTACTCTGTAATCGTTTTTTTGTTCTTCAGACCCCTGATGACTGGCAAAGAAGCTTGGCAGCAATGGTTGCCAACCCCCCTCGTCAACATCCACAGTGTATCAAGAAGAACATAACATGTCTAGGGGATACTTTGAGTAAGTGTTTTAATCAAAGTATTTGCAAGTATCCATAACTTGTAATCGCTACATTGAGGCTGTGTGGTCAAGCTGTAGTAGTGCGGGACTTGGAATCTAGAGGCCAAATGTTCTAAACCTAAAGCCCTTCCCTGGCCATTAGCTGGACTTGTTTCTCATTGGTACTCAGTTTAACTCCCCATACTTAAGGGTTAAAGGGTAAAATTGATCATTTTAATTTTTATCTGATTTTCCTTCTCTTTCAGTGTCTAATGAACAGGTGTGGGCTGCACATCTTTGTTACCTGTTGGCCGGTGAGAAATTTGGCTTTCCAACTGAGGATAAAACCAAGATGGCCATAATGGGAATCAACCACAGGTAAAGCGTCAATAAACAAAATGTTCTATCTCTATCGAGAACATGACAATAGTAGTGTTGTTGATGTCTTAGTATTAACATTGCTAACACCATTGTTTTGACTTGACACCAAGAGATAGCCACTGCATCTCATGATCTGTACAACTTAAAAGACACTTCAAGTTACACGTAGCATTTAATACGGAATAGAACCCTTTAGCCCCCCCTGTTAAAGCAACACTGTTCAGCTAAAAAAGTGGGTAAGAAATAAGGAAATGATCAACAGATGAAAGGGTCTTGATCATTTGACAAATTCACCACACCAGTACCATAAGGAATGTATAGAGAACGGCTAAGAGAATTTGCATTTGGTAACTACTTATATACAATCCATTTCTGCAGTCCTAAGTGCTCACTTAGACCTAGAAAATAGTTCATTTATGGGTGTTCTAATGGCTTCTTTGAGAGCAGGTTATACAACAATGGTAAATCCTGCCACTGGAATTAAGAATTAGTCTTGGTAGTTTTGTTCTCATGATAGTTTTGAATTTTTCTAATCCTTTGTTTGTCTTGTGCATTTTAGAACCAACAAAATTGCAGAGCAACACCTTCCCTTGGAGAATTTGCAGATGATGGAGGTATGCTGTGAAATGTTCAATTAAATTTTAATTGAAGATTTAAGAATCTTTCAGCTGTTTTGTATTTTGAGATATTTCTGCATCACTTGTTGCAGTGTTATAAATAATTCTAATTGGTGATTTTTTTATAAGGTCCTAGAATATGCCATCAGCCTCAGTGATGAAGAGTTCTTTATTCCAGTCTTACAGGTTTGTTTGTTTGCACTGTAATTTGTAGCGTGTGTGTTAACATGCAATAATTTTGTTACCTTTTACCATTTTAAGGGTACTTATATTCAAGCGAGAGTCTGCTTTTTAAAAAATTAATACCCATTTTGGTGCCCCAGAGGTCTGGTTTGCACATCCTTGTACATACCATCCTATTGAGATTTTAAAGTGGAGTTACGAGGGTCAAGCAGTTAGCTTGCTCTGTTCTAGACCTACAGGGCAATATTTTGAGCTTTGATTGTTGGCACAGGACTGTTTTGAGGTCGTTAACTTTGTTCTACACTGCCTTACTCCACAAAGGCATCTAAATGATTATACTGTACCCTTGCAGTGGGCAATAAATGCCCACTTATTTCACTTATTTCAATCACCCCATTCCCTAGCCCCACTCCATCCCTTGCCCTTTCCTCCTGAAAAGGGACAGGAGTACTTTTAGGTGTTTCATGACGCACGAACTTAACTTTACCCTTTGGTTTCAAGGGACCAAATTGGTGAGAACAAAAGTTAATGTTCCAGTCTCACTTGTTGTTTGTCTTTCTCAGTCATTCAAATTTGTACATGCCAGCAAGTTGGCTGAGGCTGGTTTCACTGAAGAGGTGAGCTCTAAAATGCTGAGTCTTAATGTACTTGCTTTAGAACTAAAAGCTTCATTCTTTAAAGATACTGGCGTTAGACAAAAAGGCAAACAAGTTGTAAGTCAACAAAGCTGAAATCATTTTATATCAGCTGCACTGCTTGTGCAGTTTTGACAAAATTAATGGTCTGGCTAATGACGTTGCAGTATTAGCCCTATTTTATATGATATTTTGAATATTAATATTATTGTTTGCATGGGTAGGATGCTTTGCTATACTGCAAGTTAGTTTATTTTTATTCATAATTCTGAACATTTAAAGTGTTTCTTTTAATGAACTGAGGAAACCAGAATATCATAAAGCCTGGAATTATTACAGCCTTTACAGTTTGTTTATTTAACTAGAAAATATTATTAATAGCCTGAAGATTTTGTATTACAAAATTTTTATTAGCATCCTACCAATGTTTATTAGTATTACTATGTTATGATTATCATCAATATAACTGGCATTCATGGGTTTTTTCCATACTGCAAATGTTCTAATAATAAATGATTACTCTTGTGAATAATGACAGACTTAACAGATTCCATTTGATTAACTAAAGATACAGTTAAACTTGTTATTATAATGACTGTTTTTGCAGTTTATTGACCAGAGTATTTTGTACCTTGTTTCTCCCTTAACAACAACAACTTTTATTCACCCCTTATACATATGAAAGATGAAATTTACATGCAATAAAAATTAAAGCTAAAAGGGGTCTTGGCTTTGTAATTGCAGGCTCTCCACTATCTAGAGCTCATTGGGGAGGTGATTATAAAACATCCCACTCACTGCAATGTAACATTAGCAAAGAATGTGCGAGAGGTATGTTGAAACTAATGACATAATATTTTGGTTTAGTATTAAGTTGCATAAATGGGTATAGCTATAGTTTAAGTTATATTGCTGTAGTCATTGTTTACAATTTTGCTTATTAGCATACAAGTTAAGGCAAAAGTTGAAAGAGCTGATTAACTTTGTGAAATTTTCAGTTCTTTGCTTTGTTCATTATTTATTTTAACCTGTTGCGTTTTTGATGCTCTCATTGTCATCACTTTTGTCACTGCTTAAGATCCCTAATGTCTTTGAGATGACAACTAATTCTAAGTGGTCCTTTACACTTTAAATGGCATTGAGGAAGTAAACATAGTTTTTAGTAATTTAACTTCATGACGAAAATGGTCAGTGAGGAGTAGTGTCCATGTTAAAGACATCAAAGCCATAACGTGACATTTGGTAATATATCTCTAAGACCAAAAGGAATGTCCCTAATAGAGGGTTTTTCTTATCATGGAGGAAGACATTTGACTGTATTGACTCTTCTCTTCAGCTAACTGATCACCTTACAAGTGACAATCAGGAGGCTGCTGATCTGTTGGAGATGCTTGATAAGGTTCTTCAAACCAAAGAGGTTAGATAAAACTTGTTTACAATTTAAGCTGTTATTGAAAAACTTTCAATTTTGTCATTTTATGATACAAGATCATTTTATTATTTGCATTTGAGAGAAAAGCTGCCTGCATTTTGTGCTTATGCGCTTTGTCACTTCTCACTTGTAGACAACTTCACAAATCAGCAGTTCTGTGACAGAGAGTGAAAGTGAAGTGGAGGAACCTCTTGCGGAAAGCTCAGCATCATTCTTCTCAGGTTATGACCCCTCTACTAACACACCCAAACACCAGCCAGAGCAAATGGATGAAGCCCAGCGCCAACTTTCTTACACTGAAACATCAATGAGTGCGCCTTCAGTGGCCCAAGAACCACCAGAAGTTGAATATAAGCAAGATTACTGGGCAAATGGCATGCCCACCGGTGACAACCAGGAGGCATTCACAGGAGGTTTGGATGCACAGGCTAGCCAGCCTGAACTCCCCCCAGCCTTTATTCCAAAGGCACCTGAACCTGCTGCACAAGTTCCATTCTTTGTTCCTGGTCCACCTGTGGCACAGCCACTTCCTGTGCAGAACGAGCAAACAGAGACAGTTGAGGAGCAGCCTGTTGTTAATGGCAGACAGTGGTCAGAAGAATCTAAGAAGGTTGAACCCTTGCCACCAAAAGGTATGTACCAGTGTTTGGCCAAAATTCTGGGCACTTGTTCGAGTAGGTTTTCATGATGGGGGACAGGGTGATGAGGGGCGGGGGAGGCTTGTTTAGCTTTTGATCTTTGTTTGTAAAAAAAAAAAAACCTGGAGACGTCTGGAAATAACATTAACTGGAACTGGTTTAAAGGGAAATGTTGTATATTAATGCCAGTGTTTTAAAAGTTATTAAAGAAAAAAAAAAGAGGCCTTTGTTATGACCGTCACATTTTTGGGGAGCAAGGGTGGTGCAGTGGTGAGAGCATTGGCCTCCCACCAATGTGGCCTGGGTTCAACTCCTGGCATCGACGCCACATGTGGGTTAAGTTTGTTGTTGGTTCTTTCCCTTGCTCCAAGAGGTTTTTCTGTGGGCACTCCGGTTTTCCCCTCTCCTCAAAAACCAACATCTCCAAATTCCAATTCGACCAGGAATCAGGTAGACGAAGAACCACTATGTGGTTGTGCTACCTGCAAATCGTTATTTATTTTCTTTATTTATTTAAGAAATTTTGGAGATTGTCAATGGGCATGCCTATTGGGGAGAGAGCCAAGTAGTTTGGGGAGAAAATTATATTGCTTGAATTTTCGAACCAACATGGTTTTTCACGTTGCCACGTTCGTGCTAAGTATTTAACAACTGAAAATAAACAAAATCAGCAAAATCATTTCGGTCCAGTCGAGGGCTGTCACTAAGAGTTCAAGTTGCTGGGTATATGCAATTAGCAGCAATGAATTTTTAAGGTAGGGAGTTCATTTGTCTCTAATTCCTTTGTTTCCTATGAAAGTAGTTGGGTGTCATTCTCATAGTAATCAAGGGAAAACCCTGACCCTCAGCCCCTTGTGACAGTCCTAGTCCAGTCCCTTTAGCAATGGTAATGGTATAATATTACTTTTTCCTGATTTAGAACCTGATGTTCCAAAGAAGACTGAATCAGCACCTAAGCCAGATGAGAAGAAAAAGAAGAAAGAACCTGCTGCCCGCAATAGCCCAGTTAGTTCAACTAACTTTTTATGTCATAACCTCATCGTTGTCCTTGACTTTTTTGGCAAATAGCACCAAATGAATTTATGAAATTTATGAAAAATGGTATAGTGAAATAAGACATTGACATTAGGGCTTAAAATGTTACAGAAAAATCTAAACTTCAGTCCATAATGTGACCTTGCTTCCTGACTTTTCAACAACTAAATAGGTAACCAGAAAAAGCTGGCAGCTATGTACTGTGACTGGAGAGCCTTTCTTAAAAACTAAATGAATGAGTGAAATTGATAAGTTATTGCAACTACCTGTCACTTTGTATTGCTAAAGGAAGTGCTTTTGTTCTTAGATGGGTGGCTGGTTCTCTGGCTTGCTCTCAAAGGTGATTCCTCGTGGTCCAAATCAAATGATTCTTCCTGATGACAGCAAAAAATCGGTAATAATAATAATAATAATAATAATAATAATAATAATAATAATAATAATAATAATAATAACAATAATAAGAAAACATTTTTTATTGAGAGTAGTATTTAATAACTCCTAATAATCTACAGACTAAGTTACAGACTGTTTTGCCGTCTATCTTAAAAGATAGGGCAGTGCCATTTTGGTTTAATGTAAGGGTAAGCTAACAGAACAACTTCCTGGCAGTGCTTTTAGCCCCTCTGCTGGAGTTGTTGAATTCATTGTTTCTCTATCATTTCAATCTTATGCAGATTTACTGGGATGAGGATCTTAAGAGATGGGTGAACACAGATGAAGATGGGCAGGTTTGTATAGCTTCTCTGCTGGTGTTACTGTGCTTCAATAACATGCAACTGCCGAGTCAGTTTTTTTTTCACTTTAAGTCACACGAAAAGTGAAAAAAAAAGCATAAACATTTGATTGATTAGTACATAAAATGTAGCTAATTGGGGAACTGACACCTTTCTGTAATTTCCAATTGGCCTCTTTTCAAGCTAAACTATTTGCATGAATTTAATTGAATTTGTATATATGTTGATTTTAACATCAAGCGATTTCTGACAGTTTATCTACCAATTACTTTTTTAACTTGAAAATGGTCATGAGTGAAACTTTGAGGGGGGCTGGGGTTTGGTAAGGGGGGTGTGTATGTCATATTGAGGCGACAGTTCCTTGTGGGAAGCAAAAGTTAAATGATTGTCAAAGATGCATTTGTTTTATATTGAATGGTTTTTGTCTTGTTACATTTCAGGGCAATGCTCCTCCACCCCCTCCCCCAAGTGACATGCAGCTTGGTTTTGGCCAAAATTCCATGATGCCATTTGGAAATACCACTCCTGCCACTTCAGGTATGTGTTGAAATTTGTTTAAAAGGATTTTCTTTCAGTAATCTTTGGGAGGGTTTTTATTTAGAGCACCATGTTTGATATGAGTGATAATCAGTATAGTTTTAATTGCACAACTGCATCCCAAATTTGTCTTAGGTTGTATACCTCCTGGCTTAGGTTTTTTAGGACTGTGTTTGCCATTTCATCAACTTAAAAAAATTACTGATTTGCAGTCTAGTGTGTGTGACAAAAATCTAAGGAGAATTTCCATTTCTACTGGTTTTTGTCACAAATATTTCAGCAGGTTTACAACTTGTGAACCCAAAACCAGTTAAAAACTTTCTATAACACAAAGTGTCATTTGTTTGGGAATTTTTCTCCGCTCTTCGCAAAATCCATTTGTTGTTAGTTGTTGTTTTTTGTAAATGTGCTGCAAATTGACGATGTAGGGAGACCAAGGTTAATATTTCATCACAACATGATATTCCAATTAAAATTTCAGGATGGGGGGGAGGGGTATTGGTTAACCATGTAGTAGTGTCTGTAAATTAGAATATTAGCTAATGCTTTTTCCTTCAAATAGGTACTACAACCCATAGTGTTGGTACTCCCTCAGTCCCTGGGCCTGCAGCGCCCCAGCAAGCTCCTGGAGCTACCCCTGGTGGTATGGCCACAGCCACACCTCCTGCTGTTTCTAAATTTTCCAGGAAAGCCTATGGAGGAGGAAGACTAGGTGAGCTTTAAGCCAATAACAGTTCAATTCAGTTCCTTCAAATATTTGAATCAGATTTGATAAAACAGATGCTAATCTTCTTACTCTCAAAAGTAGCAAATCTCAAATGAAAAAAAAAAAAAATGCTTAGTTTCCTTTTGTGTGATACTGAAAATCAAGTAACACCATGTGAAAGTATTAGTGAAGAGGTTTCACTTGAAAGATCATACCATGGGATTTCATCCAGAGACTCAAAAATTAGATGTAAGAACCTGGCGAATAACAATAGAACCATGAGAAGTTACTGCTGAAGAGGTATCTCCCCGTAAAATTCCGAAAATAAGCCCTTAAATCGCCCCTCCAAATATAAGCCCCTGCGGGCTTGTACTTGGAAAATTGCCCTCAAATACAAAGTAAAACAACTTGTTTTACTTTGTATTTGAGAGCAAAAACGGTAAATTTACTTCCAACTATAAAGCTCAATCGATTTTGAAACGCAAATTTCCCTCCGTAAATAAGCCTCTCTGAATTTTAGCCCCTCCAAAAAAAAGCCCCTCAAAAAGGGCCTTTGAAAAATATAAGCCCCGGGGCTTATTTTCGGAATTTCACGGTATTAAAGTGGCCACACCACAGGATTTCATCCTCAGAGTTAAACGCTGGAACCACATTCATGTTTTCATCAGGTGATACGTGCAAGTACAACTTTTCACACTCATTAAATGTTCCTTCTTTTTTCCCTTCAGCTAAGAAGTATGTTGATGTTCTCAACCCCACTGGACAGAGCTCAGCTAATGGTCCAGTTATGCTTCCAAACAGTCTTCTCCCTACCTTCCCTGGTCCTACTGCAGCCATTAATCCAGCATCGCTATTTGTGCCTACTCCTGTGACTGGTATGAAGGATTTGTTGTTGACATTTCCCATCTTTTAGCTTTTTAAACTCTATCATAGTGCCAAATAAACACAACTTATACGTTTACTCACGTCACTTCATACATAGCCTCTATGTTATTTACCCGCGTAGGCACGTAAAAATTACTCGACAGTGGAAATTCACCATTAGTCATTTAAAAGGATAAGCATAGAATATGTAAAAGAACTCCCTTCCCAACCAGTAACGCCTGACTCTGATAACTGACACTTTCAAAAAGTTTACAGTATGCTCTCGAATGTTTGCTTTTAGATCCTTCCTATGAAGAGCAGGCAGCTACTGAGCCTGTTGTTGCTAATCCCGGTTCCCGCCCATCATCACGGTGAGTACATTTTTCAAGTGTTAGCCTTGCCCAGTACTGATCAGTATTAAACCCTCCTAACTACATTAGCTCCCCATCACAAGTGGAAGTTGAGCCATTAAGACACAAAAAGGAAACCTGAGAAATTTTGTAAATTGTGTTATAATCTAAGGTCATCAGAACTGTATAGAGACTTTTGTTATAATCAGTCATTATTCCTGGTTGATTTCTTTGTTATTCAGCACTTTTTATATTTTGACTTTTGATTTCTTACAGAAATGATGAAGATGATGGCGCTGATCAGCAGTCACAGGTAAAGAAAGCTCTTAGTTTTGGGACAAAAATAATTACAAAAATATCTGTCTGATTTCGTTAAAAGGTAGCCACTAGGCTTTCGCCCAGCCCTGCTCCAGGCCAGTGCTGTATCCAAAAAGTAGGGGACTTGGCATCTTGGCTGGCACAGCTGGATAGCCCAGGGACTGCCCTAACAGTGGATTGGTGGATCAGGCCTGGGGGGCAAAACTAGTGGGGTAGGGAGGGGGTTATTTTGACACAACCCCTTAAGTAAGAAGCAGTGTTCAGTACAGGGTTTGACTGGCAAGTACCTTGTTCTTACTTTGCCCTAGCCAGCTGAATCAGGCCTCTGCTGAGAATGATTATCGTGATGATTGCAGAGCTTAGTGGGAGGCTCAGACAGTCACCCATTGTCCTGGGTGGGGGGAGGGGGGGGGGAAAGGTCAAATTCTTGGTACCATTCAAGGACATACTTAGCACAGGACCTGTAGACACTCACTGAAGCCTTGTTTACATATATTCAGTCAGACATATAAATGAATAAACCGTTTTTATTCTTAACTCTTAACTTGCAATAAATCGTAATGCTTTTTCAATAAAAGTGAAGTGATTACTCTTTATAACCTCAATTAAAAAACAAGAAAAGCTGGTAATTTTAAATTGGTGTTTAAATTTTTTTCAAAGTAATCATGTGAAATGATCTCATGGATAACGTGGATACCCTGGACGTGTAATTTTATTTAATTGTCGTTTCTGATAAATTGATAATTAACAAGCCCACAAACTGATGAAATTCAGACAAAAAAAAATGGGTAAAAATTGGCGAGTTGCAGATGAGCAATTGAATGAGACTGCTGAAATACGATTATGTTTCTTGACGTACATGCAAACTTTAAAAATAATGTTATGTCTTTGGTAATTTCTTTACAATTATTGTTAAATTTGTCTCTCTCTCTATTGGGTACTTGAACCTGTTCTCGTTGAATACTATTCATGACATGTGGGGTGTTTTCTATATCACGTGCGTGAGCTGTGTCGTTCTTGTATTCATCACGTGCAGTGTTGTTGATTTCACGTGCACAGTCGTCTCTTTCTAAACGTCCCCTTTTGATTTCAGCATTCTCGGTCAAGCTCGGTCTCCCTAACTTCAGCAGAAGTTCGTAGCTACATGATGCCCCAGGTATTTCACTGCATTCTGCCTATGTAACGGTTAGCTCAGGCAGAGGCAGTGAAACAACAGTTCATAGGCAGATAACATGGTCTAGTCAGACTAGACGCTTAGGCAAGACCAGGGTAGAGAAGTGCCAGAGTAGTTTTTAGTGGGCTAAACAGGAACAGGTTAGAGGGAATAGACAATGTGGAATTTCTTTTCTTAACTAGACAGTCTAAATTTCAGTTTCAGCCTGAGTGACATGAATGCTTTTGCTTATTCCATTTCCCATTTCCAGTGTCTCTCTGTTTTGTCACCTCCAGTGGACACTTTCAGCTAACCAATAAAAGCTCGGAGATAAATTTACTAGCTAACTATTTAACCTTTAAATATTGTAAAATTTTGGTTTTTCTTTTAGCTTTCTGTGACGCCAAAGTAAACTTCTGCTCTGATTTAACTGCCTAGCTTAATCAAAAATTAAACTAAGATCCCTCCGTGCCCTGAAATTTCTAAAAATACATTTTATAACGTAAAGGTGCGGAAAAATTAAATTATTACATAGACTTATATGTATAAAAATAAAAGCAACAACAGGTGAATAAGGTTATATTTAGTTTTCCCCTTACTCCAAAGAGTGGCAGAACTTAAAAATGGAAGGAAATCTTAACTTTTGTTTTGTGAAACACTGTAAAACAAGTGATGCCGTGAAAAACACTACAGTGGAGGTTTCACTTTAATGGTAGCATCATGGGGTTTCAAACAAGGATCAAACTCGCAATTCATTGCCGAGTTTCTTCAAGGAAGCCTGGTTGGCGGAAAAATCTATCTGCGTTGCGATGTGATTGGTTACTTTGATGTCAGCTTGAGTTGTGATTGGCTGACATTCATTGAAAGCCGCTCTCTAGTCAATAGCTGGTCTGTCTTTTTGATGACCCCCATTAACTTTTAACAATACTTTTTTTTTATTATTTTAGATCCCAGATCCTCCTCCACAAAGCGCTGCTGCACCAATGTTCTTTGACCCATCGGCTTTCAGCCAGCCCAAGGCTCAGGCTTCTCCAAGAAAGTCTCGCTATCCGGGTCAAATAAGAAAGTGAACTAATTTATCTGAAATTTTCCCAAGGATTGAAGATTTAAACAGTTGTCTCTTGATGTATTTTAATGATGCTTTGATTATGTCCGCTCTTGGTTGAACAAAAAGTTTGTTTGTTTTTCAAGTTTTCAGCTGACCTTAATAACGCATCAGAGCTCAGCCTCGTCCCCAGGGCTTTTCCCTCAAAAAATGGGTGGGGCGGGAATGAGGGAAAAGCCCTGGGGACGAGGTTGATCAGACTTTATCTCATCTTTCTTTCTTTCTTTCTTTCTTTCTTTCTTTCTATTCTCAGTGATTCTTCATTTCCACTGAAATCAAACTTTTTTCGTTAGCCATATCATGTGGCTAATGGTAATTTTTATTTTAAGGGGATTTTTGAAATCCACTCGTATTTTTTTGCGCTTTTAAGAGACAATTGCTTAAATCTTCAATACTTATTAGAAACGTCCTTATGAAAATGGAGGGGGGAACTGCTATTTAATTTTAGATTAAATGAGGAACTCAAGGGGTTTCTCGCGAAAAATGTGCTTGTAAAGCCCTCATTTGCACTCTTCTTGATATATATTTATACTGGAATAGAAGGCCAGATTCTCGAACGCAGTTGAATAATTTTGTAAAGAGCGTTATTTCTCCAGCAGTGACCTATCTTGATAGATCAAGTAATATCATTTTTTAATATTATGATTATTTGTATCTTAATAGTGACACTCCAAGAGTGCGTGCTTTCGATTACCTTCTTCACCACATCGTAGTTTTGATTATTTTAATATTCACGCTGTTTGTTTGCTTCAGAATAACACGTTAGGTAGCTTAACTTTTTCTCTTTTTTTCTGAACTGAGCTCTTCAAATGAAAGCAGATTATTTTCCTTTATTAACTTTTGAATAACAGCTATTTTTCTCTCTTGATTTGATTTCTCTGTTCCTAAAATACGCATTTTATTTACGTTTTTCAAATCACTTTTAAGCATAGATTTAGGTGTCAAATAATAGTTGTAATTACTTTTTCTTTAGATACTTTACAACAGTTACTCTCTCTTTAAGTGCGTTTTAAGTTCTCTGGTCTTTAATTTGCACTTTGTTACCCTCTATTGTATAGAAAAGAGCCAGCAGTTTTTAGAATGAACAGAGCGTAGGAATACCAGTTCCATCAGCAGCTTTTGCCAGGGTGGCTTCTGTCCACATAGCGTGGCGGTCGCTTTCTATCGTCGACTGCCAGCTCGTTCCATCTCATTGCCTAGCTTCGTATAAGGCCTATTGTGCGCTCATTTTTCGCCAGTTTTTTCCGAGGTTTGTATTCCATCCGTGCCTTGCGTGGTAGGTTTTCTAGCACTCATTATGTCTTCCGTTGCCCCGTTTGGCTGTCGAGCCTTCCGTGCACTCAAACCGGATCGCGACCGGTTTGTTTTGCCTCTCTCGCAGCCAGATTGGGCGACAAAATCTTTCTCTCTTTTCCAGTCGCCCCAGCTTGGTTATTGAGCTTTATCATTCAAACCTGTTCGCGACTGGTTTGTCTTGTGGTCTCTCAGTAGTCAAGTTGGGCGACTGATTCTATCGGTGAAGTTCTCCCAACTTAGTTGTTGACTTTTTCCGTGCATCAGGCCTGTTCGCGACTGGTCTGTTTGCAGTCCCTCAGCATCTAAGTTGGATGACAAAATCTTTTTCTTTTTTTCCAGTCACTTCAGTTTTGGTTGCTGAGCCTCAGTGCTTTCAAGCCAGATCGCGACTGGTTTGTTTGCCATCTCTCAGTGACCAAACTGGGTGACTAGTTTGTCTTTCTCTTGTGCTACCTACTGGTGAGGCACATTCAAACCTCAGGATGGTTCACTCTGGCGCGCGGGCTCAGGTCCTTTTCGCTATGTGGACAGTTCTTCGTTAGCGACACTATAACTCTGATTTCAGGAATAGGCTGCTGGCTCTTTCCTGTAGAATGGAGGGCTACTCATTTATATTTATTTCAGAATTATACTTCAATGCCTGTACTTCACAATCTAGTATGTTCTCTCTCTTTTTTTTTTTTTTAGTTTTCGTCACTTTTACGTTATGTCTTGACTTTGTTTCTCGAACTCAGTACAGTCGTTAAAGATTTCAGTTCCTTTTGGCCATAACAAACAACAGCAGCAAGAAAATCTCGCGCTTGCCCTCTGAGGGCACTTCTTTACGTTGTTATTCGAGAATCTGGCTTTAAAATTTTACAGAGTGCATTTAGAGGGCTTGTAGCTTAAGGCACCGAATGTTAAAATAAATGAAATAATTAGCTTGTGTGTTGTTTACTGTGTACTTTCCTTAAGATAAAAGGACTAGTTTTATGGCCTGAGGTACCTTGTTAGGGACAAAGCAACAAATAATTTCTAAATGATGTCTCGGGAAATGTAAGAAATAAGTGGGAAGTTCGAGTGGGAGGGGGTTGCTAAGGGGACTAAGGGCGGATCCAGAGATGCGGAGCGCCTAGGGAACTAAGGGTGGACCCGGAGAGGGAAAGCGCTCAGGGCCTATAGGCGGATAGAGCTAGGGCGGACCCGGAGACGCGGAGCGCCCAGGGCTGAGTTGCTCAAAGCATGGTTAGCTTTAACCATTGGTTAAACAGTATCAAAACCAATACGTTGTCATGGCATTAAACGCTGGTTAACGCTAACCATGCTTCGAGCAACTGGGCCCAGATGACTAAGGGTGGACCCCGAAACGATCATTGATTGGGTTTGGTTGGAGCCTTCCGTTTTATATTGGAGGCGATTTTTTTAACTTGCGTTCTTCGTCCTTTGCTCTTTTTATCCTTTTTCACTTCCATTTGTTTGCTTTGGGGTTGCTGAAAGTCCAAGCTATGTCACGCGTTGCGTGACATAGAGAGAGAGGTGGTGAACTCTCGGGGCACTGGGGACAACAACGTCATGTACGAATACTGCATGTGTGACACATGCAATCATGTTTCGAAAATAATGGCCACTTAACAGCGCAGAGAACGAAGGAAATGGATAGCGTAAATCGACACACTGCTCGTGAACGGCCTGTAAGTAGTAAGGAACGAACTAAGTCTCCTTGAAATCAAAAATCGATAACTATATGTGAGAAACATTCAAGGTCTTTTAGTACCTCTCCCTTTTGCTCATTACAATCAGATAAGCTTGCAATATATACTCGCCAAGTTTTGTTGAACCACAAAACGAGCCTTTTAATTTTGTCACAGCTTCTCAACTCTCCTTCCTATCATTTTTGTTTCTGTCCTACCCCAGTGTCCAGTTCATAATCTGCAACTCAACATAGTGCAGGAGGTTCCTAGAATATAATACAATAAGCAGCAATAAGCTTACTGACATTATTAATAATATTGTTTTGAACAGGCCAAAAAAAGTCCATGTTTATGGAAATTCTAAATTGAAAGTAAGAAAATACAGACCGGTTAAGTCTCATCACTTTGTTGTGAGTCTCATGATTTCATGACTAAGCTGACAGCTGATTTCTTATGCTTCTGGAAAAATCTCACTCCAACAAGTTTTGAAGCATCTGTACTGTACGGTTTGTTTCCAAAAATTAATTTCTGAAATAATAAACTCAATCCAAAGAAGGCATCTCGCATTCACGTTTGATCAGGAAATATATGAAGTGCCAACTTGATGCATTACCGTCACGTTTCAGCCTACTCCTGTCTGAACCCCATCACGATTTGCTGCTAACAAACGTGCCGCTTGCTTCTGCTTGCTGCTACCAAATGTGCATATTCTTTGTGTGCAATAAATGGAGGATATTACATGGTCACTGGAGATATGAAATTTCTCTTCGAGTGTTGAGCACAGCGAATGAGTGAAATATTTTTCAACACCTTAATCTCCCAGTTGGGATAGCTGCCGAGTGAACAAATGTCTGTACATTATGTCAGCAGTAACAAAGTAGAACTAGATTGATAACAGACTTTCCAAGTCTCACAACTTTGCTGTGTCTTGCCATTTCACAACCTATTTCATGCTCTCAGGGGTTAACAACTGATTTCCCAGTTTTCTCAAAAAGTCACTCTTTAAGTCCTCTCACTAGGAAATTTGGGACATCTCACAACTTTTTCCAACTCTCACTTCTTTTCCCAGCTGTAGGTTCAGAGTCTCAAGATTTTTGCTTCTTGGGGTTTAGCAAATCAGGAAATATCTGAGATTATAGTAACAACCACTTATTTATTTGTGTCAAAAATTTAAGGCTAATGTTAGTCACATGTTATAAGTAATTATTGGATGATGGTTATCAGAGGATGTACCCTGTCTGATTTGATATTTATGAAAACAGCGCAAACTTAGTTTTTAACGTGTCCCACATTTTTCTGGCAAGAACTTTTGTAATGTTACATATATTTTGTAATACAGTCGAACCTTCTGTAGGTTGAAAACTCATGGGCACCCAATGGCTGTTTTCTGTAATATATCCGTTCAAAGAAGCAAATATAATTTTCCAGAATTTTGTACATGTTAAGGATGGCAAAACATTTCTAGATGATTTTTCCATTCATGCATAAATATTTGAAGCTAATCTAAAAAAATTCCCTATGATTTTCTTAAGTTGAATTTAAGCATTTTTTCACTCCCCAGGTTTAGCTGTTATTTGTAGAAAAAGGAAATGGAAAATTTTGTGTATAGAAAATTTGATAGAGAGAGTAATCAGCAAAATTCTGACCTTCATAAAGATTCAGTTTGCAACTAAAATTTTCAGGAAATAATATTGAGGCCCTTGCAAATTTGAAAAGTCTCAAGTTGCCCTAAATTAGCAAACAGATACAAATTTTATAGCACCACTTATAATGCTTTTCTAGATATTTAAAAGTACTCTGGGAGCCTAAAAAGTTTTTCAGTGTATTTCAGAAAGATCTTCATTGGATGTCGTTGAAAACGTAGTGGCCAGTTACCGTGTGTAAAGGAGGTGGTCACTTATGTACACTGTATGATAAAAGAACCATGGTGAGAGTCTCTTCCGAGAAGATGTCATGGTACCGATCTACCTTATGAAAGATAACTTATTGCATGCAATTTCTAAGTTATGATTATTATGTGCAGTATTGACTGTACATGTATGTTGTTACAAAAGTTCTTCATTTACTCTCAAGTAACATAGTTTATATAGCAAACTGAGATAAGACCATGCGTGCAAATGGTTGCTTACTAGCCTACACCTAGCCGCACCCTTCCCCCGACAAAGGAAAAGTGGAGGGAGGGTGTGGCTACATGTAGGCTTGATGCTTACAAGAGGTTAACAACAGTGAAAAAGTTTTAAACTGTCAGCCCCAAAAAGTTGTCATGTTCACTTATAGGAGATGGTTGTTTATGAGAGGTTCCAGCTGTAAAGCTTTGTTGTTTTGGATAGGTGGTCGCTACCCTGTGAGCAGAGTCTCCATCGATCTTCCTAGAAAATATCGGGAAGAGGATATTTCCCAATATTTTCTAGGAAAATCGAAGGAGACTCTGCTCACAGGGTAGGTGGTCGCTTAATATCAGAGGTACTGGTCACAAACAAGAGGTGGTTTCTCTGATTGAAGTTTGAGTGTACAACAAATTTGACGAGTGTTGTTAGACTGCAGAGATTTAGAAGGTATTTTTTTTATCTCATCAGGATTTACTGGAATGGAGGAAGTGCCAAGGAAAGGCTGGGTGGTATGGAATGCTGGCTATTTTAGTTGGTAAGTTTCAAGATCATTATTTTCAAGATACATTTAAGTTGGTTGTCTGGTTAAACCTGAGTTTCCTTTGTCTCTTGTGAATAATTTGGACAAAACTTCAGTCAGTGATGAATTTAGTTGGGTCACTTTGCCCTCATGGGCATTTCTCCATGTTTTTTTGACACTATCTCTGACCTCAAAAAAGAAAAGTGAAGATTTCCATCTCCCATCCTCTCTGCCTGAAGAGGCTCTCCAATAGGATTTTTGGGTTTTGTAAGCATACTACTTCTTTTATCCTGGCCACTATCTAACCTCTAGATCTATATTAAAAAATGGCACTTTTAAAACGTATGTTTGGGATTGGAATGATCCAATACTGGCAGTAACTGTCAGGATCATGAAGCAGAGAAAAAATGCTGATTCGGATAATGGAATAAATATTGAAGAACCCTATTGGGGTCCCTGTGAGCCATGTTTTGCCAGTGTTCAGGCTACCTGCAAGAAACAACAGGTACCCCAACTTTGAATGAAGGGCTGGGGGGAGGGGTCTAGACTCTTGTGTTCTCTAAAAAATACTCCATTTAACAACAGTTTTTCAGCAACTTTGTCGTCAGTTGTAGGTTGTATATAGTTTGGTGTGAAAAAAGGTCAATTTTCCTACAACATGTTCAATTTAGAGTAGCCTTGAAAGGCCTATTGTGCTCTATGTTGTGAAAATGTATTCGCAATAATTATTATATTGGTTGTGAACATAACTTTTCCAGATATGTTATTAATGCATTTTTTAGAACAGCTGGAAATAAAGCATAAACTCAGTGGCAAAATTTGTTTATATAGGGCATAAAATGTTCTTGGGACAATACTAATATGATTCTTGTTAGTGGAATTCTGCAATGAAAGTGAATTACATCATTAAATGATGGGCATGAAATTTTCATGCCCTAGCTACATGGCCAATGTGTACAGTGCAACAATGAAATACTAGCCATATTAATACCATTATAGAGTTGGCTATTCTGTACACTCAGGTTTCCTTAGAACAGTAGTAAATATATATGTATGGACAGGTGGCTTTTAAAAAAATATTGTGAGTGCTCATTGCATACAGTCATGTAATGGTGGCCATTATGTTAGAGGTTCAACTCTGCCTATTGTGACAGTCTAGCTTTCACAAAGTGTTAATGTATGTACTTTATTTTTACTTCTGATAGGAGGTAGTGTGGTGTTTGCTGGGCTTTCTGGTTTCCCCAAATTACCAAAGAAGTATCTTCCATTGGTCTCTCTTGGTATGTTACTTTGGATAAAGATGAGGAGATCTTATCCAAAGGAATCCTCATAAATTATAGTGATAAGAATCAACAACAATAGCTTGCGAGCAAGCTCTCCTATTTGGGCGAGCCTCGCGAGAATGCGCGAGCGAGGGGCCGAGGAAGGGAGAGCTTGCAACAATCTCTCATAAATTTTCATTTCCACCCTGGAAACCCTGGGACTCTGCAAAGCGTGAAAACTGTCACCGCAAACGTGCCACAGATTAGAAAAGTGCAACGGCCTGTCAAGTTTAGACAGCCGAGGGCGTGCAGAATTATTTATTTATAATCGCTTTTGCAACAGCATCAAAGCAATGTTTTTAATCACTGATATGCTTTTTTTTTCCACGGGAACATCGAACTTCAACATGTCCGCTCGGATGAGAACTTAATACTTTGATTCCCGTTTGGTTTTCTTTTGAAAAGTCATCCATACTGCATTGTAGAAGACCAACTCCCCGTCGCAATCACCAACAAAAACATTATATGTTTGTCCTTTCCGGAACTGGAGAATAGCGTTTTCCTGGACTTGGTTCTCTTAAGTTGTACTACAGTTGCTACCAACTCTTTCTTTTGTCCCTCTTTACAGTCAAGCTACACAGCTACACTGTCAAGTACACGTTTCTAAATTTTTTCTACCCAGTGGAATTCAATTGGGCGAAGAAACCGATGTTGGAAGGCAGCGCTTGAACCGGGTGCTTAAATCTCTCTCCACTCTCACTCTTCTCGTTTTCAGAACCAAACAAGGCGCTTAACACAAACAAATACAACTGATGAAGGGTTTTCATTTTCCTTCCACAAGAACTACAAACTCGGTCCGACTTATCCTCGGTTCGCAATATTCTCTTTGCAAGTCCCTAAATCAAACGAGCCCCCTTGTCTGCTTTGAGGGCTGAAACACGTTCTTGGTACCAATCTGATCCCCCTGAGAACCAAACTTGTCACACAGATGAAGAGGGTGCCAGCTTGGCCTGTTATCAATCAACTTTGTTTTCTGGAACGTCATTTTCCAGCCAATGGTATTTCCCTGAGCGTAGTACAAATGAAATTTTATGAGAGATCATTGCAAGCTCTCCTTTCCTCTGCCCCTCGCGGCTTCGCCGCTCGCTTGTGCGTTCTCGCGAGACTCGCTTCGCTCGCCCAAATAAGAGAGCTTGCTCGCAGGCTAACAACAATAGTGTCAGTTACGCACTTTCCATGTAACAATAACACAACTCATCAAAAAGAGTAAACTTAACAGGATTCAATCATTCAGTCATTCAATCAATCAATCAGTCAGTTAGTCAGTCAATTAATCAAAATGTAAACTATCCATCTCTCAAACAAACAATCATTCATTCTGTCAGACAAAGTAATCAATCTTGCTTGTTGTCATTTCTCAGCACTATATACTTTTTGATAGTACCCAGGAAACTTTGTACCAGGTTTTTGGTAACATTTCAAAGTGCTAGATTCATAGGTGAAACAAGTGGATGTAAGTAATTTGTTTTCACCATGTCCTTTATAAAATTATTAATTATTTGTTGTGAAAGTAGAGACTGATATGTCAAATGACTGGACATTATGTCTATCCTCTGGCCTCAGGTAACATCCCTAAATATTGTGTTATTTTGTAGTTGTGGAGGCTCAAACTTACAGCCGATTTGCATTACTTTCTCACAGGTGTAGGGGCTGGCTGTGGATGGTTTGTGTCATACAGAGTGATAACTTCTTGTCGCAGGGGCCTCTCTCTAGAAGGAACAGTGGATGGAAAGATTAATCAATCACCAGGTTAGAAGCACCTTTGAGCATGACCTAAGTGTTAGGTCAAGCTGAGTGGATATTAGCCAATTTCTTTTTTTTATGGACAGAAATGAAGTCAAGCCAGTCTGTCGAAAACTCATGAAAAAAACAAGGCCAAAATCCAACCATCTTGATCGAACAAGTGTAATCAGGAAAGAGTTCATTGTATGGCAGAAATTAAGAGCTCAAGAATTCATTGTAGGGCAGAAATTAAGAGCTCAAAATTTTTCATGAACGCAAAGTGAGAGCGGGAGATTTTCTAATGTTCTCTATGGCAGTAGCGGACAACAGAGTGGTAGCCAATGAATAGGCTCGACCCAAGGCCTTTTCACAGGCTAAGAGAGCGAGAGGTCTACTACTGGAACTGGAAATAAGAGGCAAAGGACTTTGACAAAGTCTAGGCAGAAATTAAAACTTGCTGTGACTTAAAGCTGACTGTGACTTCAAAATGCATTTTTTTGGTTATAATCTAGGGGTCATGTATGTCTTCTTTCAGATTCAACAGGGCAAACCAGCTAGTACAAATTGTTTGAAAAGTTTCTAAAATGGGTTGGTTAGGAAGGCTTTCTTTTCCTTGTTCTTTTAACTATATGCAACTGCCCATGATTTTTTGTTTTCATGTCTTTTTTTATATTTGTACAGAGAAGAAAAACGACATACTACTGCCTCCCAAGGAAACAAAATATGGAGACAAGGGCTTTGTCAAAGAATGATTTTTGGCAATGATAAAGCTCTAGTGTTGTGTACATAAATAGTTAGAAATGTGAGCTGTTGTGTGAAATATGGATTCATCTAATTCAGATAACATTAATATCCATTATTTGTTCTTCTTGAGGAATGTATATAAAAGAAACGTTTTAGATCTATGTGAAAGTGTCAGTTCTCTATCTTAACAAAATAAAATCATCATTTGCTCAAATGAGTCTTGACAGTCTCAGGTCAGCCCGTTTTATTATTATTAGTATTATTACTATTATTTCTAATAAGCACAGGTGTTCTTTGTCCTGGAAACAACAACGTTTTCCATGGCTGTGCTCTAAGGAAAATTGCAGGGAGCCCAGTGCTCTGATCTTATAAAATCTAGGGTGCCCAGCATATGATTTGTATAAAAAAACTAAGATTTCCTACTCGCCCGAGAGCAAAAGTTAGGCGCCAGGGGCAACTGGGCTCTGCTAGAGCACAGCCATGTTTTCTACTTTTAGTCTGGTTCCTGCCCGAGATCTTGGACGTCAAGGACCTTCCTCAATATAGTGGCCGTTTCAAGAAGTGTAGACTTTTGCAAAGTTCTGTCAGACCCTATTTGGAATTCCAATTTCCTTCAAGTGACCCTTTACGTTCTTTGGTATCACTCCTAGACCCTCCTAGAGCTCCAACAACGGCTAGATATTTCCCTTATTATTATTATTATTATTATTTATTTTTTTTATTTTATTTTTATTTTATTTTTATTTTTTTTTCTTCATAACTGTCATTGGAATATAGACTAGCAGAAAAAAAGAAAGGCACTCAGGAAGGGCATATGGCATTTGCTGCGGTCTCTTAGCCTTTAAGAGTGCTTAATAGATCTTACCGTGGATGCAGACATGTCATATTTCTCTTGCTTGACTCTACGTTACCTTGGCTCTTCCTTTACAAAGAGGAGAAGAAAATGATCGTTTTATTTTATGGTTTCTAGGCTTTCTATTTTGCCAGGGGTACATAACCAAGGGCGAGCAACTTTCATGTACTCTTATCACGGCGTTTTCACCTACCAGTTTAATTTTAGAACGATTTTGGCTCGAATTTATGGTAGAATATGTTTTAAGAACAAAAAAAAACCATTCAGCAAAACCTGAAAACTGTATAGTTGACCTTTTACTGATCACATTTAGTTTTCCTTTTTCATATCTTATAAATTAAATGCGCTGATAGGGAGAGTGGGGTTTTCATTTTGGAGGGAAATACTAGTGTTCTAAAATGTATCTAAAAATATACCTGTCTCAGTGAGTGAAAACGCCTTGAAATAGGCCTTGTATGGGAGTTGTTCGCTCCGGGTCATGGGCTTCTTCTCCTGCCCTTTGCTAATAAGGAGCTTTCAAACTTTGTCGCATTTACTCCATTTCTCTGAAAGTGTCTTATGTAGGCGAATTTCCTTGGAGCTGATTTCTTGCGGACCGCACTCAACTTTATAAAGACAAAGAAAATTTCGCCGTTGCTTGTTTACGTCTCCCGTAAAACGCGAAGTTAGACATTTTCACGTCGTAGTCGTGCAGTGGCGGTAAAGAAATGTACAAAAAAAAGTGATGCACGTGCAGAGTTGCCGTTTTGGTTAATAAACCTTTCTCGTTGCCGCCGCCTTCGTAGTTGCTAAAACTCCCTCTTATAGGAGGAGGATGACATCATCCTTTACACGTAAGGACTCCAAGCAGGGCCTCAGTTTATTAACTGAGAGTTGATCTGAGAGGTTGGTTTCCTGGGAGTGAGATTCCTTAGCTTGCTGGAAGGGAAAACTGGGCGTTCAAGAGGCGCAAGAGGACGTAGCCTGCCAGCAGGTTCACTTATGCGAGTTTCGGGGAACATTTTCAGAACATTTTCTCATTTGGAGTACTCTTCCCTCCTTCTTCGTGCATCCATTCCCTCCCTCCCTTTTTTTCTTATAAAGGTAAAAGTAAGTGAAACTATTCAGTATAGGGTGTTGGCCTCAAAGCTGTTTCTCGGAAGTACCTGAGAGTACCTTTTGCTCCGGGTGATAATCAGAGCTTTCAATTACAATGACCCAAAATTAGACTATCCCAAAAGTCCCACATAATTAGTCTTACAGGTTATTACGGTTCTGATGACATTACGTTTTCAGTTTCTCATATACCTTATAAAGTTGCGCACACAGATTTCACAGGCTTGCGCTGGAAAAGGTACTCTGAGATGACTATGCAATGAACTCTGGTTAATAGTGAAAACGCGGGGAGAAGAGCCGGGCTGTTGCTGTTTAATATATCTTTAACATACAATGCAACATCGTCCAGGCTCTCTCCAATGCTTAACATGTAATTTGGTTAAGTATTTTTTGCGAGAGGTGGATTTTAAACCGTACACCGACCTATTTTCTCGTACTTTTATACTACTGTCTTTAGGAGACATGCAGAAACGCTCTTTCAAGAGCTTGCACCACTTCCTTCTTGTAGTTCGAAAGTGCAAACAAAACTATCTATCAATATTTTTCTTCTAGTTTTTTCGTTCTACTGTAACTTCCTTTTGGGTTTCACTTTCCGGGTTTCCGGGAGAACAAAGGACAAAAAATATTGTGATCTCAATACGTAGCCGGTGTTTTTGTGAAAAGCACCCCACCCACTACTCAGACAGCAGACGTAGCTCGCTATTTTAAGAAGCGTCAGACTTTTTGCAGTTTTGTCTTCTTAATATCCCGTAAAGGAAGTCCAGTAGACAAAGAAGGGCGTTTTTGAATGGTTTTGCAAAGATCAGCAAAGACAAAGCAAAACACACATGAAGGTAAGCGTACTTCCGGTGTTAGTCCTGGAAAGCGCCAAGGATCATGGGATAATCTCCAAAAGTGGAAGTCGGTGGGATTTACATGCATTACGTTCGGGTAGTTTCGTAGAACGCCGCGGCAGAGTTCTATGCTGTTTTTAAATTATTTCGTGGAAGAAAACAAACTGTATATTTGACGTCTGATATTTTCTGCGAGCCAGGAAATCTTTCGCACTCGTTCTCTTCGGTTAGTGTCAACCTGAACGCAGGTATTTCCATTCTGTACAACATCATGCGGTGAAGGTATGTGCAATGGTAAACATGTTAAGCTAAAGTTGTGTGAGCAACGTAGTGACGGTTTACTGTTTTCCTTTAAGCTATTTATATCCAAAGTGCAAAGCTTTTCGTTAGCTAAAGATTGGCAGTAACTAATTCGCTAATCGTTGGGGATAGTGATTTTTCCCCAGCCCGTTTGACCATGTAATGTTTGTCTCTTTATAAAGTTTATCCAAACAAATAACAGCGATTAAGTTATATTCTGCCGATAAGGTATTGAAAAAGCAAAGGAAATCTACCCTTTGTATTCTTGAAAGTGTTAGTTTCGCCCGGAGCGAGTTAGAAATTAAAAAGCTTGGCATGTTCTTTTGTGAGAAGATTGACCACATCTGATCTACCGCAACCATCAAGTCGTCGATTCTCAAGAGCCTCCTCTTGCTACCAGTATTGACAATATTACAGCCATTGTTTCATTTTGTATTTAATTTTTACTGCATTTCTTAAAAATATTTAGAATGAATGATATGAAGTTGTTTGGAGTCAATATCAAAAATGATTTATTTATTTGTGAGAAAACCCAGAGGATTTAAAAATTTGCGTGTCGCGCCATTTAATGTGAGAAACGAGACTGGCGATTAAAACCGCAAGAATTACTTTACATCCTGTCTACAACTTCTAAAATGTAACCTTTATATTTGTCACGGGCATGTATACAAACACATTCGTTTAATCGAATTTGAATACAACTTTTCAAAAAAGATTTCTGTTTGGTGCCCCGCTAGATATTCTATTTTGAGGCGTGATGTAAGGTCAAGTCTTCTTAAAATTTTGCATTTAAGCACCGTGTTCCACCTTGTAAACCAATACGTTATGCAGCTACATGAATAATTTCCAACAGATAAATGAAACAGGTATTTTGATCCAAATTTGAGATTCTGGGGCGGTGCTGTTTTTGTTCTTAGTATTTCGTTTAAGGAGTGAAAAGATCAATGTCAAAAACTTACAATCAACAGAAAATACAACCTGAATAAAACTCTTCAAACAAATTCTGGTTCGGCTAAAGGCAATGAAAGGTGAAATTGGATTTTTATAGTGATTATTTTGTTTCCCACAACAAAAGCTGACAGTCTACACCTTTGATAAGGTTAACATACGTAACAGGTTTTAGAAGGAAAGTATTAATTACCGGTAACGATCTTCTAAAAGGGTAATAGTTTAAAGGCTTTTCTTTTCATTACTTCTTCTTTCACCTCTTTCACATGTTTTGTTTTAACTATCTCAAAATTTTCAAGGCTGAATCAGTCTTGCTAAGCTCAAATGATGTGGAGGTTTTATTAAAAGAGTACATGTAAAGAATGCTCAAAACCGTTTACAATTTATTTCAGTCTTCAATGTTTACAACGATGTTGACTACAAAACAGAATTCAACTTTTTTCCTCCCCTTGGGCAATTTATTGATGTGCAACCGCAAACAAGAAAGTGATCAGAACACAAAGCGAACCCAATCCAAGCTATTTTTTCGAGAGGAGCTTTGGAGAAAAGGTCTTTTCTAACCGCACCTATCCTTATACTTTCCTAGGGTAGGCACCCTGCATGGGTCTGAGTGTTCCAATCGTGCCCATCCCTTTTGGGCTTTAATTCTTTATGTTTGTATATTTCCAATTTGTATTTTTTTTTATTTTATTTTTTCGATTTGATCTTACCCAATAAAGCTTGACGTAAATCATTTTACAAATGTAGGGTTTTCATTTCTCCTGGGAGGTACAATCTTCCCTCAAGAAACTGAAAACAAAACTTATGCAAAATTTTGTGGGGAAAGCAAAATGCATCATGGGGAACATGAAAGTCGTGGATGGTTATAGTGCAAAAGCCATGGCATTAGAAATGGCAGATCACCATTATTGATGCCATCTTTCTAGGGCCATTTTGTACCTATCATATCATCCAGCCTGTAGTTGTTATCTATTATGGCTAAGCTGGAGGAATGACTGGAGCCACGTAAAGGTTTCTTTCCATGCTGTCTGCCATGGTGGACTCCCAAATTTTGTTTAGCTTGTGGAATGCTTGCGAGACCTTAGTCTTCCAAGCTCTGATAAACTTCCAAGGCAAAATTTCTTATAATTGACGAAACGTGAAGTAAGTTGCCATGAACTGGATTGGAGATGTACAGATAGAATCAATTCAAGTTGACTAGGCGAAGATTGAACATCTAGAAAGTTCTTCTAGAATTAATTTGTCTTTTCTTTCCTAGGAAAGTAGCTTGGGGTCATGACCGTATCCCTGAACCAAACCCCTTAGTGACAACCTTGTATGTAGTGTAGCCTAGTATTATTGCCTTGTTTGTTCATGATGGATTTAGGAAATCGTTTTATTTGACAGTTGTGAATTTTGTGTGGGATTTTTTAAATGTAAGGGGAGTATCGACAGCGTTAAATTAAAGGTTGAATGTTTTCCTGTTAGCATAAAACCTGAAGCGGAAGCATATACCCTTTTCTACTTTGCTACTTCTGCAATGATTACTAAGTACATTATGTTTAATCTGGGAGGTCCTAAATTATCTTTATAACATGTTTTAAAACAAAATCATGTTAAAATGGAAATTTGTGTTCCACGCTACAAAGTCTTTTGACTCAAGTTTAAAAAAAATAATCTAATTGGATTCCTTAAGAGGTTCTTCTCTTCCTTTGCAATGTGTTATTTAATATTTGGATTAGGGTGATTATATCAATGCTGGATTATTTTACACCAGTGAGATTAAAAAGCTTTAATGAGTAAAGTGGTGACCTATTGGCCTACTCTTGTGTCCTGTATAGAGTGGAGTGTTGATATATTGCTCAGGAAAATCTGTTTTAGATTCTGTTAGTAAAGGCTTTGTAAACTCAAAAAATAGGCTACAAAACTCTTTTAACTAGACATGTATCTCCTTCAACTAGAGTCTTAGCTGATAGAACTCGACACTTGGAGCAATATTATTTGATTCTATTGGTGCATGTAAGAAAACAATTGGAGTTTGTCGTCTGACTAGTAAGAAATGATATGTGCAAAATGTAGTCATCAGTGCTGTATTTACAAGCCATACATTTTCTTCTTGCTAGATGAAAAACACGAGACAATTATTTTAAACTGCAGCTATTGAAACTTTTAAGAAAGTATGACTGAGAAATGTGAACCACAAGGCTGGCATTGTTTTTTTTTCTGTCAGTGAAAATCTGTACATGTAGGTTACCGAATATTCAGCTGTGTCAAATATATGAAAAGGTGGGACAATTTTTTTTAAGACTTGAAAAAATATTTCTTTTTGCAGGATGATTTGAAAATTTTTCTTCTGTCAAAATGTATGTTCAAGATAGATTGTTCAGTCTTCTTTGGATTGCCCTCCTTTTGACCAGCACTGGGATTCTTCTGGTGACCTCACAAGAAGGTATGTTCATGAATTAATGGATGTCTTAAATCCACAACTGCCTTGTGTAGTAACCAATTTTGTTTTTATGTTTTGTCTCTTGTGTGACATATAGCAAATGCTCTATACAGTGGAATCCAGATTTTTTGAACCACCTTCACAAAACCAAATTAGTTTGAATTATCAGGAGGTTTAAAAAATCAAGGGGGTAAAATCACAGTGTTTGACTTGTGAAGGGAAGTCTTGTTTGGTTCAAATTCTCAGCATTCTGCTGTACACCTGCTAACTCATCTCACACCGTAGGTTCATGTATGAGCCTTACCCGTGCAGATCAAAAACTTTGATCTCTTGTCAGTTCCTCCGTATGGAAAAAATTAAGCCATTACATTGACACATTTTTTAGAATATTGTATTAGGTAAAATACACTATAAAAATGCAAGAATGAATAGTCCATGTTATGATCATACTTTTTCCTAAATCGTAGATTTAGCGAGGGAATTGTTTCAATCAGCTACCTCTCACCCTTATCACATTAGACTCCATGTGCTTAGGACCTGATGGGGTGGTAGCTACCACATGGGACCTACCTGTGAAGGTCATGGTTCCTCCACACTGTCTCTCTGGGTAATTCAAGTGATTGATTAACCTAACAATAGTCCAACATGTGTCTTGTTATCCAGGTTAAGCGCTGGGACATTACATGTACCTCTCATTATTATAATCGTAATCATCATTGTTTTGGAAAGTTTGAGAGACTGACAATTTTTTGGATTCGCCACCGGTGGACTGTTTGTGACAGATAAATGAAAGAGTTAGTTTCTAAAGAGACTGTGGTGTTGCATTAGTGGCATTAAGTTTAATCAATTCCCCTTAAAAAAGCTAAAATACTCACCCAGTCAAAATCAATAGCATGAGCATGCTTCATATTCCCACGTTGATGACGTCAACAAACTAATTCCTTGAGTTGTTGTGAAGTTCTTCTCAAACGGCTAGAGTTGCTCTTGGCTTTTGAGTTCTCCAAACTTCCCTTGTGCTTCATATCTTGACTCATGCATTCTGATGCTTGAACCAATTGTTAATTTTTTTTCATAACAGTGTCTTGCTGTTTTCTAGTTTGCTTGTCTCCACTGGGAATGGAAGATGGACGAATCAGCGATGATCAGATCAGAGCAACATCCCCACGATCTGGTCCTTCTGGAGCAATTTATGCTAGATTTAATCATACTGATGGTAATGGTGGTTGGTGTCCAGATCAGAAAGGCCTTTTAAACAAAACACAATATTCACAGTTCATACAGGTCAAGCTGGATGAACCTGTAAGAATTAAGGGCATTGACTTACAGGGGAGTTCCAAGGGATTAGGAAAAGTGGAACGTTTCCTTATTAATTACACCCCAAACAAAAGTGACCCTTCTTCTTGGAAGTGGCTTGGCAACTTGCAGGAGGTATGAACTGAACTAATGACAAAGATCGTCAGCTAACTAGTTAATTATTACTCTGGAACATTCATCAGCCGGTGATAAGTGCCCCATCATGTTAAACTTAGTTTCCTTCCCCAGCACAATTTACTGTCCTCTTTGTGTGAACAGGCAGGGTGCAAAGAAAGTCAGTTTTACAGCTTGCCATTCAGGCAAGCTGCAGCTAGAATGTACTAGCCCAAGAGTCACTTTATGTAGCCTGAAAACATTTTTTTGATGAGCAGGATTGATTACAGTGAATTCCCCCAAAAAACTTTACCTGCCCATCGAGGAAGTTGAGAACACAATTCACTAGCCCAGTAGCAAAATCCACTAGCCCCGGGCCGGAGAGTATGTATGTCCCTATTCTGATTTTCAAATTAGGTCATTTTGCATTTTTAGGAGTAGGCCATGTTCCTGTCAGTATTTAAGCTATCTTCATATCCTTTGTCGCCTTTTCATTTAGTCCTATGTTGCTGTTTCAAGGCCATATTGCTGGTGAGAATTTTACCCTGACTGGGCCATATCAATTGCAACCCGTTATGTAAAGCATAATAGATTTAAATAATTTAGATAATTTTTTTATTGTCCATGGAGAGAGATCAGAAAGTTGAAGGTAGACTTGTGTCAGAAAAATCATTATTGGTATAAACTATTTTGTTTTTCAGTATTTTAAGGGTAATATAGACAGACCCGTACAGAGAACAATTCTGAGGCCTCCACTAATTGCAGATGGAATCAGGCTGGCTCCTTTATT